ACAAGGGGAGTACCTGCACCTCGTGCTGAATAACAAGGGGAGAACTGACACCCGGTGCTGAATAACAAGGGGAGTACCTGCACCTCGTGCTGAATAACAAGGGGAGAACTGACACCCGGTGCTGAATAACAAGGGGAGTACCTGCACCTCGTGCTGAATAACAAGGGGAGAACTGACACCCGGTGCTGAATAACAAGGGGAGTACCTGCACCTCGTGCTGAATAACAAGGGGAGAACTGACACCCGGTACTGAATAACAAGGGGAGTACCAGCACATGTTTTTCACCACTTAAAGCACTGCTTTAAAGTGAATAGGCATCTCAAAGATGGATAAAAAAATAATTGTGACGCTATATCGATACTGTTACCAATGTACCATTAAGGTATGAGGTTACAGTTGTAAGCATTAAGCCATCATGCTGCCCATGCTCAAAATAGTTAAATAAATAACTTAAATGGCTATAAACAGACACATCTAATCTAATAAGCAAACCATCACATGGAAACTTGCCAGAAGGCTCTCAGTGACACCCACTGAACCCAAGAGGAAATAAAAGAGAACACACAGGAGAAGAAGTTTGTTTTATTTCTGTATTTACGTGCTTCTGTAGCAAGATATGAATCTTTCAATGTGGACTGAAGAAAGAAAAATGCAACCATTAACTGATTTTAGGTTCCAGACATACCACGGACATTTACTTGATAATATGTATAAGGAAAAGTATGACATTTAAAATATTATTTAATCAATAAACCACAGGTAACATTTAAAAAAAATCTATTTGTATTATGCTTTAAAAGCATTGTTGCTATATGTTCCTCATATGATCTTTTGATTTTATATCAAGAAATACATTTCACATTTTGTTTTGTTTTCTCTTTCTGTTTCTGTAGTGGGTAGTATTCCTAGAAGCACAAAAGGAATCATTAATTTTATATAATTAATTTGAAGAATAATCATTTATAATTGGGGGATTTATTACTGATCACTTGTGGTTAACCATGATCTGCTTGATGGTCTGCCTTTTACTTTGTGACTAACCATTATCCATTATAATTCGGCCGTACGTTTTAGGGAGTGCTTTTTGGGCTTAAATCACAGAGGTGTGTGAAGAGTCACTGCAGCCTTTCTTCCTGCTTTTATTTATTCCTTATCCTATTCTTATTCTATTTCAAGGGCATTGTTATTGCTATTTTGAGGTCACGTGCACCCTGTAATAACAGGAAAAGCAATAAGTAAGCCAAAAGCTTTTTATTTACATTTTAATTGTTGGATTAAACTACACAGACATCAAGACCGCATAATTCACTAGCGCAAAGCCACTACATTTCCCATAGTGCACCAAATGTGGCGTGGACGCTGAGTTCCATTTTCCTCTTTAGGTCAAATGGGGTCTCCGATCGTCTTTGTATCTGTCAACAAGGTCACTTGTATCTGTAAACGCGTGTCGAACCTGCAGTTCCCGATACAGGCGGACACCATAGATTATAAACTAAATTAGTTATTTTTTCCATTGAGAAACTCTGTGCAGAGTTCTAATGCTTTGCAGAACTATTTTTTATGTTATTATCATACATTTCGCTTTTGTCGCTTGGCAGAACAAGTATGGAGACGAACGAGAGAAACGAAAAACGGTGGTTATGCGTGAGGTACGCCCCCTGTAGGCCTAAAGCGAAAGTAAAGAAATGATGGTCATGCATAAGGTACGCCCCCTGTAGGCGTAAAACGAAAGTAAAGAAATAATGGTCATGCATGAGGTACGCCCCCTGCAGGAGGTACCACGCTGACGTCCGGAGGAAGCCGAACAGTGAGGTAAAGGGTGCAGCTCCTTACCCCGGCGACCAGAGGGCTCCGTGTCTGTGAATCATTTAATCAAGGTTCCATAGACAGATCCTGCTTTTTTTTAACACTTATTTAAGTGAATGCGTCTCACTTTTTCTCTTAATATTTATGTGACTGCGTTTCACCCTGAGCTCCAGATGGCCCGCCTTTGAGGAGATGGACATGATCGCCGTGAGGCTCGGGACGCGTCAGGGTCTCCCCGCCGCACTTCGCGGTACGTCGTGCCCGAAACGCTGTGTCACCGCGGCCGCTGACTCTCCGCAGCCCGAAGACCTTGGCAGACACATCAGCCGCAGGGCTTCTCGGCCAGATCCCTCCGGTCCTGCCCCTACGTCTGGCTCATACTTACGGCGGGGAAGAGCGGGAGCACTCGCCGGCTTGGGCTACGGAACTTTCTGTGTGCGACGCTGGTGCAGAAACGAGCTTTACACGGGGATCGGAGCCCCACTGTCGCTTCTGAAGCGCACAGTTTTAATTGCCCGAGGTAGGAGAAGCCTTTTGAAGCATCTTATAGACTCTGTTACAAAGCTGGTTGCGAAAATCCATCAAAGGCAGCCAGATGGTGACGCCATCACATCCAATACATGAATGCAGTGAGTCTGATTTATGTACTGTCCAAAGTTTAAGTCTTGGGTAAAATGGGAGTATCTGTTTCTTATGCACTTCCTGGTTTCAGTATATTGTACATCACCAAGCCCTGTTTCTGGACCTGCAATTGCGCCGGTGATCCGGTTCCCATGGAAAACCGAAACTGATCTGGGGTCGGTCATCAGTGGAACAGTCTTTGAAGGCATATCCTATTATGGATATTATCTGATAATTCGTGTACTATACGAAATCCGTTTTGCTTTATGTAGCAGTAAGTTTGAAAATATAACCCCAGGTCTTTAAGCGATTATTCTTCAGTTCGTACCAGCGTTTTACTGCTGCTTTTGAAATATTGCCTATGAATATGCAAACATCCTTCAGTCCTTGATCGATAAGTGTAGTTTCTTAGACCGCCTACTTCACCTCAGATAATTTTGGTTTGATTGTCAATGAAATATACACTCCAGCTGTTTCAGTTCACACTTCTACGAATAATATCTCTTCGTACTGTTTATAAGTCGCCAAGTCATTTTAGTAAACATAAATCGAGTTGTTACTGTGAATATAAGGCGTCAATAATGTTAAATATATGTTAAATGTTACGTTATGTATAAAGTATGTCGGTATTATTGTAGTGTAAACCACATTGTTTACAGTGAAAATATCGGTGACCTTTTCGAACTGTAGAATATCACATGTGTTTGTGTACACACACACACACACACACACACACACACACACACACACACACACACTACATACACAGGGAAAATCTTAAGTAGGCTTACTTGTGACTAATCCCAGGTATTCCAATATACAGTACTGTGTAAAAGTCTTAGGCAGTCAAAGAAAATGCTGCTGTCGTTTTCATGTTGGTGTAAAACTGCAGTATTATGTCTGTCAAAGTGTGTCAGCTTAGCCATTTCAAATGCTTAGCCAATAATCACTTTTAAAATTGTTTTTGAGCAATTATAATATAATTACGTCTTGTTTTCAGTGTTTCTCAATATGAGTGTACATATGTGGTATTACATATATCATCACGATAGATCTATTAACCAAAAACAAAACTCAAAGAAAAAAGATTGTTACTGTTAGTCTGGCATCTCTGTCAGTCACCCATGTAATGTGAATTCACAAAACACTCTAGTTAAAAGCTGCAGACTGTACACATCCTAGTAAGCAGGATTTCCAGTCTTCCTGAAACCAGGGACTAGCAAATAAAGATATAAAAGAGCTTTAAAGTGTGTAACTGGCACTGCATCTTAACATACACTGCAGCTTATCAGTATAAACAATTTCCTTATGGAAATGGATATACATAGGCTTCTCCAGTACTGTAGTTCACTGAGTAATCAAGCTCATCTAGAAAATCTAGCTGCTTCCTATGGCCTGGATATTACAGGTTTGTGACTGATCTGTGTCGCCAGTGGTGTAAGAATCCCACTTGTGAAGTCTCAGCAGCACAGTTTCAGTGAAATAATTCATGTGAAACAGTGTAGATATACTCAAAATTAGATAAGGACAGGTCTGTATTTGGCCTGGGCAGTATACCAAATTTCTACAGTATATCAATTTATTTTCAAAATGGGATATAGGATAGCACAATACTGTTTATGTAGATATACTTTTTTTGTGGTTAAAATTATGGCTTTGTTAAAGATATTTAATGGAGACCAATAGTATTCTGTCCTGGTTGCTAACTTCACGAGAGCTTCAGTCGTGATGTTGTACAGAATCCCAGAATACATGGCTAAAATAAAGGTTAAAAGGTTAAGGTTTCAGGCAGAAGTTAGACGGGGGGAAAAGCATGGAATCATTGTCGCTTGGTTCAGTTTCACTTTAAAACATTGCCAAACGGCTCTTTAGATTTAGTTTTTTTTTGTTCACTATGCTCTGAGAGCAGCCTCATAAACTGAGAAAAAGAGTTTGTTGGTGGACATAGTGGAGTGAAATGTTGCGTCTCTATAGAACATTGATTTATATACCATGTTTGTCCGTTCTGCCTAAAAATATGGAGATATGGTATTTGGTCCATGTCGCCCAGCCTACTCTGCACCCCCCTTCATTCACCATAAGACTGAGTATAAAGGGTGACCTCCTGGGGTGTGACGAGCCTGAGGCGGGTATAAGGCAGGACAGGATGCTGGCCTGGCATATTGACCAGCTTCCCAACAAATGCTAATTCATTAACATCCTTATCACCTTTGGTGTCAGATGAAAGCCTAATTTTCTCCCTGACTTCCCCCTTCATCATTATCATTTGCTGACTGTGTCCTTATTCAAATCAACCAGGAACACTGGAGCATCTTCAGTAGTGGCCTGTCATCAGAGCAGGCCATGAGCACTTCCTGCTCCTTGGGGGGGGGTGGGGGGGTGTCATGTGTGGGATGCCAATGAGCAGTCCTTCATGTTTAACCTGGCAGTGTGCTGAAGCTGACCTTGTCTACCTGTCCTCTTCATTACAGAATTGAGTACCTCAATCAGAACCTTGCAGTCTGAAACGGCCAAGTCGGAGAACAGGAAGTTCTTCTTTGACACCCACGCTGTGGTTCGTCTGCTGGAAAACAATGGTTAGCCACACAATGACTTCTACAACATTTTATGTGTAATCCCTCTGAGGGGTGTACTATGAAGTGAATTTAATGGCTTAGTGTGGTTTCTTGAGACTTCCAAGTTTTGGGTACTACAAACGCACTTTTAAAATGGGGTATTTGCCATGGTAAATGAGCTGCCTAACCTGTTCCGAGCAGGTTTAAGTGCAGGCTTTCAGTTTAAAACAGACATAAATCCTGCCCTTTCATCAAATTAATGTGGCCTGTGTACAGGGGCGGATTAAGGGTGCATTCACACTAGGCGATCCGGACTAGTGTGATCGCTCCATACTGTACCTGGGCCTGCTTGGGCAAAATTCAGTTGGACTAGAGCACGGTACGCATCTCGTGTGATTGCTATCCGCGCCCAAGCACGAAACACAGACATGACGTCAATGGTGCGACTGGTACATGGTGTGCCCATGTACACTATACATGAACTGGGCCCGGAAGGAACGGATTGGGTAGGCTGTACAGGTTGGGTAGCGACAAACATTGTGGCCAAGGGATCGCTTTGGTTTATGGGAGAGGTGTAGTGTTTGCTGGAAGTTTGAGTCGTGCTCAAGCGCGGTACAAGGCAGTGTGAGTACACCCTAAATGTGACAGCGGTGCTGAAAATGAAGTTTGCAGAGAAAGTTGAATATTAACCTTTTTTTTTGGCAATCAGTAGGTGACTCGTAGTTTGCTTCATAAGTTGCTGTCACCAAAACCAGCCCTTGAATGTCAACACACACAGATTCTGATTAAGAAATCTCAAGTCAACTTACCAATTTGATAACCACCATTGTAGTGCCATTTACTACTGGTTGTGACAATCAGTGTTAGTTAAACCGATTCGCATTAACTCCAGGATTGTGAAGCTTGCTTTATAGTACAACCCACTGGTCTGTAATAAGTTACTGGAGAATAGTTTGTAAATGAAACACAATCCAAAGTGTTGATTTTAGAAAGTAAGACTTTGACAGCTTTTTTTTTTTTATCATACCGATACTTTTTCAGGGTTCAACTCGCAGCAGGCAGAGGTCGTCGTGAGCGCCTTAATGAGAACCACAAATTCCAACATGGACGTCATCTATAAGGACATGGTGACCAAAGTTCAGCAGGTATGTTGGGCTGTTTCCTTGCTGTTAAACAGGTCTGCATGTGTTTCATACCTCGGGCCCTTTAGTGACGTGATTTATGTGGCAATTCTTCCTTTGTTTGTGTTCTATTTACCGTATGAAATGTATTGTGTATATTAAATTATGCAATAATGAAGTATATTCTGATGCACATAGAGCATTGTATACTGTACTGTAGTTACTATAATGCGTTTTTGTTCCAACTCCATAAAACAAATTCCTTGGACTTGTAAATGTCCTTAGCAGATAAAGTTCTGATTCCGATGAATTTTTGGTTTGTTGGTCATACAGCACATACATTTTTATGCAAACGGTACAATAATTTTAAGTGCTGTGTAACTATTATCTGAAAATAACCACGACTAATCAAATATATAAAACGCTTGAAACCAAGAGGTGTCATGCACAGGTTGATTTACTGAATGTGAGCATGCAGGTTTTCTGTTGGCCTGGTGTAGGAAATCATGCTTCAGACAGTGATGTCCCACATTGCCGCTGTAAAGAAAGACATGGTAATACTGGAGAGGAGTGAGTTCTCCACCCTGCTGACTGAGAACGAGGTGAGACGAGTGCATTGCATGTGCAGGAATTGGAGTTGGAGGAATGGCGTTATAGATGTCTGATCTGTAAACACTGAAAGACATTCTGCTATAGGATATTACGTGTTAAATATATATATATTTATTATAGAAAGTCAAGATTGAGGTCCTTCAGTTGAAAGTGCAGTTGAATGTGAGTATGAAACTATTCATCCTGTAATGTACTAGTCCTTTTGGCAAAAGTTTGAAATTCATAAATCACTAAATCAAAATAAACAAAGAAACTTTGTGTTCTGTTTTAGGATGTGATGAACAAAGTGCGTTCAGATACTATTTTGGAGATGAACCTGGAAAAAAGCAGAGTGAAGGAAATGGTAAAGTCCATTGTGTGGGGGCTGGTGTCTGTGGGTATGTTGTATAGCTTCTAGTTTTCTGTTGTTTCCATATGTAGTGGTTATCACATTCATCTCTCACACGAAAGGTCCTCGGTTCGAAACTGAGTGGAAACATGGCGGTCTTTCGCTTTAGGGGGCAGCGTATGGCTCAGTGGGCTAAGCCTGTTATTATTATTTGTTTGCACGTGTGAGGTTATATATTTCCACATTTTAACAAACCAGCCAGAAAGTGCTGTTGTTTTGTGAGAATTACAATTGTGTATAAATTATTTAAATAACACATGTACATGTAGATATGCAGATGCCGGCTTGACCGACATCTCATTCCGAAACCAGGGGTATTAATATGAAGACGGAATGCACTATAACATGCCCTGTGCTTCCAGGGATAGGCTCCATCGGCCCCCCCCCCCCCCCCCCCCCCCCCCCCCTCTTATAATGACCCTGTTCAGAATAATCAGATGAATGGGCTATATATAGCATGATTTTCTTAGAGATTAAAATGTTCTTTATGTAGCAGCTGATGTGTTAATCAATGCAGATATATCAATCAGTGGGTGAGAATCTTACTAGGGGAGTGGACAAATTCTAATTGATCAAAGTCTGAGAACATTGTAGCAATGTACAATGTCATAATTAAAAAATACACAATACTGAACAAAAGCTTCACACAGACAAACCACTTCAATAAAGAATAGCAATAATGGACAGACTTGAGTCATTATCAAGGTTTTTTGTTTATTGATTTCACAATTGTTTTATTGTTTCTAATTCTGTAAACTTTGATTGCAGAGAACAGAAAATGAAAGAAAAGTGCTGGCAGCACGAACACAAATGATGGAGATGGTATGTATGAATGACCAGCAGATACATCGTGCTGTCCACCTCTTCTTGAGGTCATGAGGTCTTGCTGATAAATTGATTGTGTTTATCATAACCTTTGTCACCTTTGTCCTCCACCTTCTTTCAAATTGGCCGTGTTATAAATCCCTCAGCTTTGATGGGGACATGTTCCCCTTGTGCGTCCTGTAAATATTAAGTCATGATTTGATTCCAAAAGTTCCATCAATCCATATGTACATCCGCTCCTGTATTTTATCACAGGTTCTTGGAATAACAAAAAAATGATGTAGGACTAGTCAACTCATTGTCTCCCTCTTGTGGATAATTAAGTGTACACTACTGTGCAAAAGCCTTTGGCTGCCATTGAAAATAATGTATATTGATATAAAACCATAATTTTATGTCTGTCAGAGTATCAGCTGAGCCATTTTGAAACCTCTCCTAAAGTCACCCCATTATTTGCAGAAACCTTCTAATATATCCGTGTTTTGGCTGATCTCACACACTAGCATACCGTGTCTAGTCAGGAAGTTAACTAACTTAGCTGGTGGTGAGATTTAATGAAAACATGGAATGGCTGAGGTGCCCCTGAGGAGAGGTTTGGGAACTGAAACAGTGTTCATCTAGCCATCCAACAGGACATGAGTAATTTTTAGGAGAGAGCTTAAGACATTCTTATACTTTTTATTGTATTATTTTTTTCTGAGCAAATACACACTTACTGCCCAGATAAACAGCTTTCAAAGTAAATTTCTTTTGTACAGTATGTCATTTTATTTGCAGTTAATCTGTTTTCTTGCTTTTTAAATATATGTCTTCTAAAATGATGTTGTGACCATTGATTTTCAAGTCCTGTCCAAAACTACATGTTTATTTTGATGATTTCTATGTTCTTGTACTATAATAAACCCTAAAACCTAGTAGGGGATAGCTGGTTGGATGATGAATGCATTTAACTGCAAATAGATTGGATTGCTACAGTAAATATTAGGTGCAATAAGCAAATAGCCCAAGTTTCCCTTTGACGGAGGTTTGTTATGGAGTCTTCATTAAGAATCCTGTTCTTGCCCCTAGAATTCAGAGCAGGATCGTCAGATAACCCAGACCAACATGAAGATAGACACTGAAGTGGCAGGACTGAAAACCTTGTTGGAGTCTCACAAGCTCGACACTGTAAAGTACCTTGCAGGTAAACATCTGTCAATCACTGCAGTTTGTCAATGGAATAATTTTGTTATCCTGTTTAAAGCGTTTGGAATATTTAATGCTGTGGTTTAAATATTAAATTAAGCTAAAACTAATAATCTTTTTTAGTAATCAATATTTCTAGTAATTTGGTTTTGAGACTCTTTTGCTCCTGCGATATTTGAAGAGCAAATTACCAAAACTCACTCATGTGATAGTCGTCATGTAATTCGGCGAAGAACTTTCATTAAATATTCAAAACTCGCAAGTCCACAGAAATTTTCTCTAAAACATCCCTTGGACTGGTCCATTACCCTGCAGTTGTAGCTCAAGATTTACACTATTATTCGGAACACGTGTCACAATAGAACGTGAAACTTGAGTGAGTTTTGAATCTGCTCTTCAATTAGCCAGGCTAACTAACTTGGTGAACTCCAGATAATTCCAGGATAATGAAATAGTTCTGAAAGATTTATATTTAAGGAAGCAGGAGTTAAAAATAATAATTTTTTTTTAGTGATTAGTGCTTCTGTTTGTTTTCCTTGCAGGATCGGTTTTCACGTGTCTCACGGTAGTTCTGGGATTTTACCGAATATGGATGTGACAGTCAGGCAGACTGCAGCCTTCATGTTTCTGGTTCCTCATTACTGTAGTTAGCGCTTAAGTTTTGAGTTATCTCAGGTACAAAGTGCTGAATGGGAGAGGTCGTCCACAGTTAGGGGTTTCATATCTGACATGAGCGTCATAAACAAGGGGTTAACTGGGTCGAGGTTCAAACCATTTTGGGCTTTTCTAATAAATGTATCTATTTATTTTAAATTATGGACCACTCATTGAATAATTGCCATGTCTACCGATTGATATATAACAGGCTGTTTATCATTTTTATTTAACATTTGCTACCTTGTAACGTTTTTCCAAGAATTTGTAATTGTGCCTTAAGCAGTCCATTTGAAGTATCCCCATAAAAAATGCAACCTTTTCTCTTTAACTTTGACCACCCAGACTATTACTCTTCTGGCTTCAATTTTAAAGGCCCATCCTGGCCAACATGGGGTGGAACATTCAGCAGAATGCATGTCGTTCACTTGAGATGACTGTCAGCAAGGTCAAGGCAATCCATTGTCTCAGCTGACAATCCACTAAGAAGCTTGTGGGAGAAACACTGGTGGCCTTTGATCTTGGTGAGATGTAAACCATGCCAAGCAAAACATACCATGATAGTAGCGTTTTCTCACATTATACAGGAAATGCAGCATATAGCTAGCTAGAAATCAATGCAAAATAATCACATTTATAATCGTATTTCATATTTTGTATATGGTTTAGTTTAGATTTAATTTATGCAAATTTTCAAGTAGCCTTAATTTGGAATAAATATAAGATTTAAAATTGACTGGTTACTTCTCAACTGTTGTCATCCTGGAATTTTTGTATCTGTTCATTCTGATTTGATGTCACCTGCATTATGGACAACTGCACTATTACAATGCAGACATTATATATGAAATTCTTTAATTAGCTGTACATTACTTTATATAGTCGGTTTATTTTTCCAACATGTACTATTCATACCTGTGTTATTCAGTGTAAAACTTTTTTTCCCCTTTTAAAAATTAATTTGAAATGAGTTTAAAATATCCATCCATCCATTTTCTATAAACGGTTGTCCTGTGCAGGGATGTGGGGGTCTGGAGCCTATCTTGCAACCAATGGGCACAAGGCAGGGAAGAACCCAGAACTGGGGGCCAACCCATTTCAGGGCGTACACACACCAATGAGTTTGAAATACGATGTATGCAATGTTCACCATTTAAATCAGTCAGCATACTTATATACATGTGAAATCAATGAGCAGTTTTGGCCAGCTTGGTGGGTGGCAGTTTCAATCTGCATCTTTAGGGGCAGTGTGTGGCTCAGTGGGCTAAGCTTGTGTTCTTCTAATCACAAGGTTCAAACCCAGCCTCAGCATGTCTGCAGGTCCTTGAGCAAGGTGCTTAACCCCCAGCTCCCTGCGTGCCCCATCAGGTGGCTGCCCTTTGCAGACAGCTTACTCAAAAAAAAAAAAAAAATGAAAAGAGCAAGTTGAGGTCGCCGTAAAGACAATTTCCCCCCGGGGATCAATAAAGTATCAATTATTATTACTTTATTCTGTCCAGTAATTACCCAGGCAAGAAGTTTTAATATGATTACATTTTAATATGTCTGGCTTCCAAACATCTAACTTGGGTTATTCATGGCCCTCTAAACTTCTGTCTGGATCTATAGTTTATATAATTTATCATTTAAATAATATTTTATTAATAAAAGTATTAATCAAAATAAGAACAGAATTTTTGATAAAAAATATGCTGGGTGACATAAATCTGTGAAAATGTATTTATACTGAGTGGTGAGGCTCACTTCTACCAGCCCGTGAAGAACGCAAAGAACGCCAGAGTGCGGTTTTCTCCAGTGCCACTGCATACTGCAAGGTAACTGTATGACTGTGTCAGCCTCACTCTCAGTTGTGCTGAACAACTTGGGTGCACACTTTACATTTTATTTATTTAGCACTTTCATCCAAAGCAAAATACATTTTTTGGAGAAAGCCGAGTCAACAATTCCTGGAGTAATTGGGAGTTAAGGACCCAATAGTGGAATCACTGCCTATTCTAGGATTTGAACCAGTAACCATCTAAACAGATGTATAGCGTTCTAACTCACTGAGCTACACCTTGGAGGAAGGCCATCCCTGCTCCCAGTGTTCCCAGTGCTCAGTCCATCGACAGCTGATATGTCCAGTGCACATAAGGTTGCTGAACCATACACCAGGACAGCCAGGTGAGAGATATGGTCATGGTCCTGCTCAAAAGTCCAAAACTCCTCAAAACCAGTTTAGCAGTGTACCTAAAGCGCTTTAGCCAGTTGTCGTATGTTACAGTGCCAGCAGAGGACACATGACAACATGCAGAAAAAAAGTAAATCTGCAAAGTGTAACGATAATCTGACTACAGAAGTCCATAGAGAACACACAGGGCATTTTTTTCTTCCCGTTGTCTTGGAATCACGACGTATTTTTCTTGTGATCTCGAGATAACTTAAAGTTCATTATTAAGTTAAACTTAAGTTAATTAAATTTTATTTTCACCCGTGATCTCGTGACAGGTTTAGCAGCTTAGTTGGCTACAAATCATCATCATGGATCAATGTATTTCATAATACTTTGATAATGGACTAACACAAGCTAAATAGCAGTATGTCTGTCACTGCTAGACAATTATCATATTTGTGTTTGTCCCTTGAGAAAAAAAGACAATTAAATCACAGCTTTGAATTAATTTTCCTATAAAAGGGAACATTACAATGGGAATGATCATAACGATTGTACAATGATCGTAATCGAGAGGACACAATCACAGAGCTAAGTAGCCTAATGATTACTGCTCATTAGATCTCTTCTAGATAGTTAACTTTCCCTACAGGGTTTAGTATATTTAATTTGGCTTCATCCCTCCCCAAATAGGGAGTTTATTCAACAATGTTGTCATGTGTACTGATGCTATGGCTCGCACAGTGAGCGCAAGGTGTGTACGTCACCACATCAGGAAAACAAAAAAGTTATGATGTTGAGACAACTATTGTTATGTCAAGATCACAAGAAAAATATCTTGTGATCTTGTGATAACAGCTTTTGTTATGTCAAGATTACGTGAAAAATAAGCAAGAGATCTTGAGATAATGGGAAGAAAAAAATTGATGAGGGTCCTCTCTGGGCTACTGTATCTGACAACTACAGGGGGCAGCATTGTACATGAGCAAAGTCCTGGAGTATATACAGCTAAAAAATGTCATATCGGTGGAGCCAATCCCAGAAGCTATGGGTGCATAGCAGGGAATAAGGGTACACATACCATTCACACACAGTCACACCTACGGACAATTTGGCAACATCCAATTCCCCTTGGTGTGTTTTTGTACTGTATACAACATGTCTGTTGTCCCTTGGGTCCATGGTCTTCCTTTTGTCTGCTCTGTGTCTCTAGTCTTGCCGGTGTCTGGTCCCGTGTTCTTCGGAAAAAACTCAGCTCAGTACCGGCACCAGAAAAAAATCATACAGACGGGTCCAAGATATTCATGGGGGGGCAAAAACCACATCTAGATATTTTTAGGTAGATTACCAATGCACAATATATCAATATTTTCTATGAAGTGGGCTAAATGTTTTAAGTGAAAGCCATATGTGAGATGTCACAAATACTTTAATTTAACCAATGTGCTCAAAATTAAATGCAAATACTGCCAGGGTTGCCAAATTTGGTCAGCTGGCTGGAGTGAGATTTTCAATTTGAAACTTGTCTGCACATGTCTTTTTATGTATGTAACAGTTTTATTACCTCAGTCTGTAGGGTTTGCAAACTACTCCAGTGATTTTGATGCAGCTAATTTTAGGTTTATAACTGAATAATATAGGTTTGCGGTAATATTTCTTGCGGGAGTGAGCGAGTCTGAAAGCGAGTGTCACACCAGATGCGTGGGAGTTTGGCAATCCTGCACAGGTTTTCCTTCCATGTTTTAAATTATACAACTAAAACTATTCAGTGCAGATATTTCGCATTACTGCAAACAGAAGTCTCAAAATAAAGACAAAAACAGATGCCTCTATCTGTGTTAAATGGGCCCAATAAAGCAGCCTTGACATAAAACCCTTTCACACAATTACAGCTCTAAAATGTGTTGTTCTGTACCCGCCTGCAACATCACGCCGGTCAACAGCCACACCATGCAGTAGCTACACTTGAGCGCCCAAGAACTCCTTCAGTAAGGAGGGACAGTACGTGCATGTGACCTGCACCAAGCCATGGCTAGCAGCTGCCCCCTGCCACCGCTGCAGAGAGATTAGGCACTTTGCCCACAACCGCCATGCCCTTGCCCCGAACAGCAACCAAGAAATGCCAGGCGGGTGGCGCTGTGAGAGGGGTGCCACCCGCAATGCACGCCAGTTTAACCCCAATAGCTGTACCTAGAGTGGGCCGGGCTATGGGTCTGTACCTCAACTGCCTGGTCACCGAAACTTGTTGAGCTCTGGTGGACATGGGGTCCACCATCACCCTGGTCCACCTGCAACAAGTGGCAGAGCAGAGGATCAGAGTGATGGCAGCAGCAAGAATCATAAAGCTGCCTGACAACCTGTGATCACATGGTTTTGTCACTAAAAATGACAGGACATGGCAGTTCTGTGTCAACTACCGACAGCTGAACATGGTGACAAGGGAAGACTCCTATCCACTGCCATGCATCAATGACGCATGGGACTATATCGCTGGGTCAACGTGGTTTACCACCCTGGACCTCCAAACTAGCTACTAGCAGGTCAAACTGGCCCCGGAAGCTCGCCCTAAGACCACTTTCTCCATCAGCCACAGACAATGGCACTTCCAGCTGATGCCATTCGGCCTGTGCAACGCCCCGACCACTTTCGAGAGGCTCATGGAGTGAATCTTGTCATATGTCCCGGAAATGGATGTGTATCGCCTACCTTGACAATCTCCTGGTCTCACTTTGTTGGAGCAATCCAGAACCTTAAGACCGTGTTCTTGGTGACCTGGCAGGCACGGTTACTGCTGAAGTGCTCTCTTCTTCAGCGCCGGATGCCCTACCTGGGCCATGTCACTGACCACCGACTCAGAAAAGACGGCACCAGTGTGGGAGTGAAAGAGCTCCGTCCCTTCCTGGGGCTGGCATCTTACTACTGACCCTTTGTCAAGGACTTCGGCAGAATTGTGAAACTGCTGCACCACCTTACAGAGAAGGGAAGTGGTTTCGCATAGATGGATGCCTGCGCTACGGCTTTCAACTAGCTTCGCACGGTGCTCACCGATGCCTCTGTGCTAACGTGTCTGGATCCAGTTTCCCTTTCACCCTGGATATGGATGCTAGTAACATGGGGCTGGGTGCTGTGCTGTTGCAGGCGGGACCCGAAGGTGGAGCGTGCGGTTTCATACTTCAGCCAGACACTTAGCTGGCAGGAGCACAACTATTGCATGACCTGACAGGAACTACTGGCCGTGGTACAAGTGTGCAAGCACTGCAGATCATGAAGGGCGCCGCTACGGGTGGCTGCCCTTCGCGGACAACTTGCTCTACAAAGCGCAAGTTGAGGGAGGCGTAAAAACAATTTCCCCACGGGGATCAATAAAGTATCTATAAGTCCCGCACCACCCCCAGAGCGACGGGCTGGTGGAGCGGTTTCACTGTACCCTAGCCACGCAACTGGTGGTCCTTGTGGACTAGCATCAGCATGACTGGGATGTCCACCTTCCCCTGGTCCTGTGGGCGTATCGCACGGCAGTACAGGAGAGCATTGGCTGTACCCCTGCCACCCTCAAGTTTGCCCGTGAGCTGCGGACCCCGGTGAAGCTGGTATTCGGCTCATCCCCCTGAGCCGGAGCTGCTGGCAACAACAGGACTGGACTACCTTTGCCAGCTCTGGGAACGCATTCTCGTTGTGCACGAGCTAGCCAGGGACCATCAAGGTGCAGTCACGGCCAGACAAAAGATGGTGTATGATGTCCGCTGATGGGGACAGGCTTTCCAACCCAGAGACCCTGTTTGGGTGTACTACCCCATCAGGAAGAAGGGGCGGTCACCTAAGCTCGACAGCTACTGGAGGGGCCTTGGGGAGGTCCCGGAGTGGATCTCCGAGGTGGTGTACAGGGTGCAGATGCCTGAGAGGTACAGGACTGTTGTGCTGCACCACAACTGCTTGGTGCCGTACCAGCCCCTGACTCACTCGGAGCAGCCATCACCAGGACCAGTGGTGAGTATTCCAGCAACAGGGACTGATAAGGACGACGGAGGACTGGGGGGCCTGTGACTGCAGAGAACTCGCCAGTGCCTGGAGCACCTTTGGGACTACCCAGGCCTGTAAATAGTTCTACATAGTTGTTTGTGTTGTAGGTAAATGTGCTGTGTTATGTCATGTGTAGTGTGTGCGTGTGTGTGTGCCCACCATGCATATTTGTACTTGTACTGACAATGCACTCACAGTGCCCACCGTGCCCGTTGCCCTGCTTACTCCTAATATGCACGTTGGGCAGTATAAGTGCGTTGTCAGTATAAGTGGTATGGGTGGCTTGTTGACCCACTTTTAAAATATTTTTAACCTGTGAGCTGTTTGTCAATGTTTTAAAATCAACCAAGTAACAATGATTCTTCACCTTTTGCCTCCATCAGTTTCCCCCTGAGATGCTACCTGACAGTTTTATTTCAGCTGTGGATTCTGGGAGTCTGTGTGTCATTAAAGGCCTGGATCTTGGCTTTGATCCTGCCCAAGCACTGAACAGAGTCGGGGCAAGAACATGCTGCTGAAAAACCCCAGAAACCACTGGGAAGAACACAGAGGTTCTTCCAGTTCATTGGAATTTAAGATTATTCCCTGAATGATTTTTTTGGTGATATATCTTTACTGTGTTAAATTGATTCCATTTCCAATGTAAAACTGAATCTTTCAATTTGCAAAACATTTTTTTTCCAATTTTTGATTGTTCAGTATCCCCTGGTGTGGTTTCAGACAGTTCATAAAACTTTAGTTAAGGCACAGCAATTGCATTGCCAATGAATATTAGGTCACAAAATAATTTTAGCAGGGCTTTTGGTGTGAACCATACTGTACCCACTTCTGGTTGTCAGGTTCTGTCTGGATACAGATACAGATAATTTTGTTGGTTGAACAGATATAGCTACAGATGCAAACCTAGTGTAATGCAGACTCAGATGTCACAGTGACAAAAATGCAAAGGGAGCTTTAATTTTACTGTTTCATTAATAGCCCTGAAAAAAGATTCTTTGCAACTGAGCAAAAGCAAACCTTACTGTACAGGCACACAATGGGAGAAATGACGGGGTGGACACATTGCAAGCAGCAGGTCACACACATGGTGGCTGGGTTTAACAAAACAGCCGGAGACATGTGATGATTGGGCAAGTATTATGACCCACACAGGTAAGTACACAACACAACTTTTGGTGCGCAACACAATAATTTACAACAGTAGACAAACAAGGGTTATCTACAGTGCTGCTGAGCATGCTGGGAGATGTAAATGAGCTCTGCTATGTGAAGGTCAGACACTATCTAGCCCCTCCCCCTCCCCCCAATGGTCAACCGTCTCGGTGACCACCACAATTAGTCCCACCTCACTCCCATACAAAGTCCCAGAGGTCTGGACATAACGCTGTGGCCAGGTGCTGAGTTGCTGGCGGGTGCTGGGCTCTCAGCGGGCACTGGGGACTGGGTATCCTTTGGGTGGTATGGGGCCAGTCTGTTCTGGTGCACAATGACGGACCTAGACAACTGTCCCACCACCAAACTGTTGGTTGCAGAGGCTGATGAGCTGATGGGATGATGGAACTCAGGAAGGTGTGGCGTTTGCAGCGGTTGTTAGAGTGGAACCCCTTGGATTCTTCCTCCTTGTGAAGCTTTAAGGTGAAAGACTTTGTCTTGGTTGCAGTTCTCTGTTGGGTAGCAGGTCTTCACCGGCAGGCTTCAGGAGGGTTTCTCATGAGCTGCTCTTCTCCCGGGGCTTCTCTTCTCCTCCTGGGCTGATGTTCTTCCCACTTTGTTCTGAGGTGCCAGGTTTTATGGTCTAATGTTCATGAATAGGGATGACCAGGAATTCGACACCTGAACCAATGGCTGACCATCCATTTGGCGGGCTTTTGAAGGGGGGTCTGTGGCAGTCCTTTTGGGATTTATGACCAGACTGATTCCCCTTTACTGATGATTTTCATTAACCTGGTGTAACTTTTGATATATACAGTTTCATGGTAACCACTGACCAGATTTGGAATCAGGAGTGATTTTCCAACCTAACATGCCATACCAGCCTGGCGGTTCACACCTCATACCATCTGTATTAATTAAATGGTAAATGGAGGGGCCGCAGGCGACAGGGAGGCAGGAGCAGGAGGGGACCACGCAGGGGGCAAGGAGACGAGCTGAGGGACAGACGAAGGGGACAAGGAGGGAGTCTGAGGGGGCACCGGTGAAGGCAAGGAGGAGGGGGAAGCCGCAGCAAGCAACGGCGCAGTCACAGCTGGCAAAGGTGCCATCCAGCGACGCACCGGAGCAGGGGGACCCGCAGGTGACAGACGAGGAGTCGGAGGCGGGACCGAGGCCAGGCGAAGAGGCATCGGAGAGGGACCCGCAGGCAATGGGCAATCCAGGCGCCCTCCAAGCCCCAGCCAAGACAAGCGAGGGTGAGCCAGGGGGCAGGGCGGGCTAGGGGGCAGGGCGGGCCAGGGCGAGCCAGGGGGCAGGGCGGGAGGGGCCCCGGCCCTGTGCTTGTGTCCTCTCCCCTTTTGGGACACCGAAAGATGGGGTCTTGGCGGGTGTCGGCGTCGCTGGGGCAAGGGCAAAGGAGTCATTAGGGAGGTCCCCAAGGGATCCCACTCGAGCTCCTCCTCCTCCAAGGAGGAAGGAGTGGTGGTCAGACTGTCTGGGACCTCCTCGGGGACTGGGACCAGTGCTGGGGGGACTGGAGCAGGGACTGGGACAGGAAGAGACTGGGCCGGGGCATCAGGCAAGGGCGGAGCCTGGAAATCAGGCGCAGGCAGAGCCGGAGCAGGAGCCAGGGCCTCGGGCGAAGCCGTAGCAGGGACCACGGGTGTAGCCGGGACCTCTGGCGTGGGCGGAGCTGCAGGCGGCGCCGGGACCTCAGACGGAGTAGCAGGTGGAACCACGAGTGGAGCGTCGGGCGCGGGCGGAGCTGCAAGCAGCGCCGGGACCTTCAGCGCGAGTGGAGGCAAGGCTGTAACAGGTGCTTTGGGTGCAGCAGGAGGCGGGGCCGTCGCAGGAGCCCCGGGTGCAGCTGCGGGTGGAGGCTCAGGCAGAGCAGCGGGCGGAGCCGGCGAGACAGGCAGGACGGGCGGAGCCGCAGCAGGGGCCGCCTCGGGCAGAGCGGTGGTAGCAGGCGGGGCCGACTCATGGCCAGCAGGGGGCAATGCAGCAGTGTCCAGAAACGCGTGGCCAGCAGGGGGCACCACGGCAGGCACCGCCAACTCGTGGCCAGCAGGGGGCGGCGCAACAACCGGAGCCTCACTGGGCGGTACGGCGGCCACCGGAACAAGCAGGACGGGCAGGACAGGTGGCGCTGGTGAGTCAGGCAGGTCAGTGATAGGAGCCAGCGTCGGCGCCTCACGTGCAGGCGTTGCACCTTGTTTGCATCATGGGACTAAGATGGATGTGACTGTGACACGGATCTGCTGGCTTGGAGGCAGATCTGGTTTGGAGTCAACTGCTGTCTGGGGTTCAAGTCCACCTGAGTGTACATTCAGAATCACCCTTACAATCATACATTAGGGGGTATTATTAGAGACACCAAGTAGCCTAACTACAAGACTTTGGACTGAGGAAGAAAATCATGAAATGAGGAGAACATGCAAACTCCATACTCACATAGGATGAGGCCCCAGAGTGATGAGGGCCCTAAACAATTTGAAATTCATTTGGATTGCTCTGGTTTGGGGACCCAAAATCTGAAACAGCACCCCTGATAGGTACCACTAATGCTACGTTCACACCGCAAGCGTCAAAGACGCCAGCCGTCGCTCCCGCCGCCCTGAACGCGACGCTAGCCAACGCCGGAGACGCTCTCTGACGTCATAGAGTGGGTGGGGACAAGGCCACTCAGAATGCCAGGCTCTGAGAACTTTTTAACGACAGTTCTACTAAAACACATAATTATGTTTTGACAAACACTAATACTATAAATAGGTTTAACATTACCGACAATTTGCACTGTTTTCTCTGCTATGGCGCCAAAATTACTACAAAAAAATATATTATGCACTTCACCATCTCACCTGGAACACCGATTGTTTCGGACACTCTGGTCCATGCCTCATTTTTTTTATTTATGTCCCTGTATGCAAACAGAGACACATCATATATAACTGGGTACCCGGCCACAGCAATAATAAGTCTCTTCTCCATTGTGCCTAGGAACGGTTGGGTCGGAACAAAAGTTTACACGCTTATGTTCTGCGGCGCTCTCTTTAGCGGAGCATCTCTACATTCCCATTCCCCGCGTCACAGCTCATTACCATAAAGTTGACTGGGATTCAACTTCTGACGCTCCCGCCGCCCAGATCGCGACGCGCCGCTCCTCGATGCCTCCCGACGCTCCCTCCCATAGAGAATGAATGACTTCCAGTCGCTTTGACGCTCTCGCTGCTCGCAGTGTGAATGTAGCATTACACTTGACCGTGGAATATCTAGCAGGAAAGAAATTTCTCAAACTGACTTATTGCAAAGGTGGCATCCTGTTACAATACCATGGTTGAATTCACTGAGCTCTTTAGAATGACTAATTCTTTCATGTTTGTAAACCTGACTGAATGCCTAGGTGTTTGATTTTATTCACCTGTGGCAATAGCTGAATAAAGGTCTTATTGACTGCCTCGCTGAAATTAGGTGTTGGATGGCTTTTCAATTTCAGTTTTAACGAGAAAAAGACAGAGGTTATGCTATTTAAACCCAGCAGCACCATTACTTCCCCCCCTTTTGACTTGTCTTTCTTGCACATCTTGAGAAATCAATTTTTATCAAATATGGGTGTGAAAATGGATCCTGCCCTAAAACTGCATGTTCATGTTAACACAGTGATAAAATCATGTTTCTTTCAAATTAGAAGGTTGTCAAAAATCAAGCCCTTTTTGTTGAAAAGAAAACTTGAAACTGTGATACATGCTTTTGTGACTTCACGTCTTGATTTTTGTAACTCGCTTCTTATGGGAATTAGTGAGGAGGTGAGACTCTTGACAGAGTGGTGCTTGGAGAACAACCTCTTCCTCAGCATCAGCAAAACTAAGGAGTTGGTAATGGACTTCAGGAAGCAGAATGCGGCTCATTCCCCCATCTACGTCGGAGGAGATGCTGTGGAGAGGGTCAGCAGCTTCAGGTTTCTTGGGGTCACCCTCAGCGCCAGCCTCAAGTTCACAGAGCATGCAGCAGCTGTCACCAAAAAGGCCCACCAACGTCTTTACTTCCTCAGACGTCTGAAGAAAGCTAGGATGTCTAGCTCAGTCCTCATAAGCTTCTACAGGTGTGCTGTGGAGTCCATCCTCACGGGGATCATCACATCCTGGTATGGTGGCTGCACTGCACAAGACAGAGAGGCCTTGCAGAGAGTGGTGAAGACAGCGCAGAGGATCATCGGCACACCACTTTCTGCGATAAAGGACATTTACACCACGCGCCGTCTCAGAAAGACAAAGCGCATCATGGAGGACTGTAGCCACCCTGCACTGCCATTTCTCACTTTTCTGCCATCTGGCACGAGAATCAGGACAATATATACACACATATCACGATTCAGGAACAGCTTTTATCCCAGTGCTGTAAGACTGTTCAACACCCAGTAACACAGTAACATGAGAGGCTTTTCTTTCTCTCTTTTTCTCCGGGAAATAAAGATTCCGTCTCCTCATACCATGTGCAGTGCTGTAGCACACAACACTTTACATGGCACTGACACTTTATGTCATATGCACTATTATGTCTTCTATGTTTTGTCTGAAGTCTTATATGTTTTATCTGTAGAGATGGTACTCAAGTAATAATTTCATTGTGCTTTGTACTCTGTACATATGATAATAATAATAAACTCAACTAGTCAGAACTCGATTGCGCGTTTACAGTTGGTGCCTCTGCACGTTTTTTAACTGGCACTAGTACGCGCAAGCATACAGTATTACTCCAATTTTAGCCTCACTTCACTGGCTTCCTGTCCTGTTTCGAATCCAGTTTAAAATTCTTTTATTTGTATTTAAGTGCCTTAGCAGCTGTGCCCCTCCTTATTTAGCAGAACTGCTTCACCCATATGCTCCATCTCGGTCACGTAGATCAGCAGACCAGCTGCTTCTATCCGTACCAAAGGCAAATCGTAAACTAAGGGGCGATAGAGCTTTAGCAGTAGTTGCACCAAAACTCTGGAACGATTTGCCATTGCATGTGAGGCAAGCTCCATCTCTTGTTGTTTTTAAATCTCGCTTAAAAACCCATTTTTACTCTTACTGGCTTTCGGTTCAGTGTGTTGTGGTGACTGAGACTCATCTTTTCCTTTTTTCTTTCGTGTTTGATTATTCTTTAGCTTTTATTTGTTTTTGTGTTTTTTTTTGTATGTTTATATTTGTATTTGTTATATGATGTACAGCACTTTGGTCAGCCAAGTGGTTGTTTTTATAAGTGCTTTATAAATAAATTGGTATTGGTATAGGTCTGAATGAAACACCTAAATTCAATGATTAAGGGGTATGTCCCAATACCTTTGTCCATATAGTGTACATGACTATTATGAATACATTAGGTATATTTTAGTATAACCTAAATCTATATGTAGCGCCCCCAAGTCTCCATTAATGTCAGGAGGCGATGCCCTGAGTTTTTTTTACCTCAATTAATTTGATTGTTTTTAATTAAAAGTCTATGTCAATTAAATTGGTTCCTCAAGAATGCGTTACGATACACTAATTTACCTATATGTTAAGTCTATGAGTAAGGCTAAAGTACACCTCTTAGCTTAAACAGTTAAATGACAACAGGCATCACCACCTTTATATTAATAGACAGCTGCGGTATTAACAATTAAGTACTAAGCTTGCTAACCAAAGAAACACAATCACCCAAGTATTGCAAAACATACAAACTATTTACTTGTAGTACACAGAATGTATACACAAATGAATGTAGAATTGAATTAAACTGGTACTGTGAAACGGTTTTTCATATATGCAAAATGCACTTATCAACAAAAATGTCCGTTAAAGTACAGTCCGTTCTCCAATGGAAAAATCACTCTGTAAATTTCATACAAAAATAACAATTTGTTTTAACTCAAACCTATAATCAGCAATAATTTAAAATGTAAGATGAAAAAAGGTACAAAGCAGAAGAATCAATCCTGCACAGCTCCTTGGTCACATAGTAACCTGAAGAATCGCATGGCTGCTCTGGGAGAGTCAAACCAAAAAGAAAAGTGACACGACCCTTTCTGAAGTCCAGTCCAGGAAGTCTCTCTTTCGCCCAACAAAGAATGTCAGCCTGGAGCTTTGCACCGCTAAACCACCTGCTGTTCTCCTGCTTTGCGGAGGTATAACAGGGGCTGGCTAACTCAGTGCACTGGGCTAGCTCACAAATGGCTCAAACATTGTACCCTGAAGGTAGGCTGTGTATCAGGGTGATACTGCACCAATACACACAGCAAAACTGGTGACAAAATGGTTTGATGAACATGAAAGTGAAGCTGAACATCTCCCATGGCCTGCACAGCCAACAAATCGAAATATTATTGAGCCACTTTGAGGTGTTTTGGAGGAGCGAGTCAGGAAACGTTTTCCTCCATGAGCATCACAGGGTGACCTGGCCACTATTCTGGAAGAGGAATGGCTCACAATCTGGTCACTGTGAAAGACTTGAATGCTGTATTGGCTGCAAAAGGAGGCCCTACACCATACTAAATAATTATTGTGGTCTAAAAGCAGGTGTTTCCGTTTCATAGTCCAACCCCTGTAAATATGTGGCTATGTGTGTCATGGAGAGCAAGATGGGGTAGAGGAAAAGAGAATTTGTCTGCAGGGATCAGAGTGTCATTAAAGAAACTCATGTTTTTGACCTAAAAACATGGTGTTCACTTCTGCTCTCTCAAAACCACTAGTGTGAAACCCTAACTGTGTCTTACTAACTTGCTCCTCACACTCAAACCTTAAACACATGTCACCATGCACTGTTCGCACAACATGTCACAGAATGCCACCAGCAATAATTCCATAACAAAATTCACAAGTTCTTTTGAAAGGCCACATCACTCAAAATGCAGGAAACGAGGAATCAAAAGCTAAACTCGTACTTTACTGTGAACTTCACTTGTGCATTTGTGCTGTTTGCCTGTGCAGCTGTTATTGTTGTGCACGAGCTACTCTTAGCCAAGAGGTGACTCTGCATATAATGCAATTTCAGAAGAGCAAGAACTGCTAAAAAGTACAGTGATATTTCTGTATGTGTGCAGCCTCTCAGTACAACTGCTTGATAGAAGCATTAACATGGAAGTAATCATGTGCCGGCAGCTTAATGGTTAGGAAAAATGTAACAAAGTGTGAAGGCAGAGCGAACAGAAGACACGGCTGAAAAGATAACAGCAGAGTACAGGGCAGCCTCACCCAAAGAAAGGAAGGGTCTTTTATGAACTCCATTACATTTAAGTATTTTGCAGATACTTTAATCCAAAGTGACACACATTTGAAAAAGCAGAGTCAGCCAGCCCCTGCAGTCGCTGGGAGTTAAGGGTCCAATTGTGTTCTTCAGAGTGTTGGAATTGATTCTGCACACAAGACAGCCCCTATGGGGGAACCATGACTATGTGTAGGTGTTAGAGTCTCTGCAGTCTAACTTGATTAGCTGTACAGCACCCTCCATAATTTGTGCACTTCTATGTAGAATAACAGGTGCAGTGACCGGTCGAAAACCCCAGAAGGTGTGGACATACAGCGTTACCCCCTGAGCCCTTGAGAAACAGTCGATTTGCACAAAAAGCACAAGATTTTGCAATGTGATTTTTTTTTTCTGAGCAATTTTGTAAACTGAGACGCTATTTCTCAATACATCTTACTCTTAGATGCTGCAGACCTCAAACAATTTGTGGTTGGGAGCTGACAGATGGATACCGTTTCTTCAGTGGAACACATTTCAGAGAAGGATCCAGTGTCTGGTATCTTCCTAACTACATTGAATGCTCAACCATGAAGAAAAGCTGGTATGGGGTGCATGTCAAGGTGTATTACGGATGTTTGGCTTGTCTGTAGTGATTGGTGTTATTAGGAGAGTGATAAAGTAGTAGGGGAATAGCCATGCAGATATCTTGTCCCATGAGCTGATGCAGTTTGCATCTATATCGAGCTTGTGCTTATGCTGCAGCTGCGCCGTTCAGCCACACCACTTCCCCTCTCGGCCCCTCCCCTGTCTCGCCTTCATGCCAAATGTGAAAAAGCAGAAAAACAGCAGCTCACTTCCCCTTGAGTCTGCTGGACACATACATCCAACAAGCACAACACATTTACCCCCAGTTTGAAGGACAGTGGAGCCACGTCCCTCAGAAAATCACAGCCGTCTGACCCCGCAGGTAACGTAAACATCCTGTTCTCTTACTTTGCTTTACATGCATACACATACATGCACCGACACACACTCTGGGCAATTTAATGAAACTAAATAGGCTCAGTGGGGTTAGGACTTTTTGCAGCCTCTGACCAGAAATTTGTTGATTCAAATCCTGTGGCAGGCAGAGTACGTTCCTCTGCTGGGCCCCTTGAGCAAGGCCTTCAGTGCCAGTTGCTCCAGGGACTGTCTGACCCAGCTTTCTCCAAAAAAGTGTCACTTTGGACAACAGGGTCTGCTGAACAATTTAAAAAATGTTAAATGTGCACATTGAGCCTTTGGGGAGGATGGTGTGTGGCTCAATAGGATAGGACACTGTACCTTTGCTGGTTCAAATCCCAGCATCAGCAGAGTGAATTAATCACTGTGTCTCAGAGCAAAGCCCCTAACCCTAACCCCCAATTACTGACTCTGCTTTCTCAAAAATGTATGTCACTTTGGATATGAATATAAAGGTTTACTAAATAAAATGTAAATCCTAACTTATTTTATGAAAGAATTGCGATTTTATTAAAACACCATTACAGATTTTATTTTGTGCTCTTTTAATACTTGTGATGTCTTAAATTAAATTTTTTATATTAAGCCAAGATACCTAAAACTTCATTATTTTACTTGCTTCGTTTGCGTTAATTTTAGTGCAAATATGGACTATTATGAATATGAAATGCTTGATCTACTATAACTAGTTCTGCTATCCTTTTGAATATATATGGTTTAATTCGATAAGCACTTTACATACCATGAAAAATACTGCCGAACAGTTACGTCTATGTATGCAGAGAGTAAACTACATGTCTTTGGTCTGCGGGATTTAGTATGTGACATGGGGAGCACATGCTATCTGCACATGCTATCGGCACATGCGAGCGGCACATGCAGAGAGCAGAGGCAGGATCTGAACGGCAAAACCTGCTGGTGTGAACCGACACACACAGACACCTGGAAAAAAGAAAATACAAATCACACTATGTTAATAATTATTTTAAAAAGCAAATATATTTAGGAAATACAAACAGTCCCTGGGTTAAGAATACGGACAACTCGTACTTATGAATGGGTTTCCAGAAAGCTTATTATATTTAAAAACTTATAAAATATAATATAATGGTTCCTAATAACAAACAATCACACTACTTTGTGATGCTCCTGAAAACAGTGCACGGCTTCAGCGGTTTATCAGCTTGATGTACAGTAGTAGTTACGTTTATTATTACTGTATAATAATAAAATTATCATTATTATTATTATGTACTACACTATTATTTTTCCAACTTACCTATAAATTAGACTTAAAGACAGACTTAGGGAGTGGAACTCGTTCGTAACCTGGGGACTGCCTGCACTGAGACCTTTAAGGAAATTTCTATCTATGACAGATCAGATATTTATGCTGTTTTTAATTTTCACTTCCTAGCTGTTCCATCAGGTGCCCGGAGATGACGAATCAGAACAATACTTCCAACACCACCAATCCTCTGCCTCTGGATAGAACCAGCTCTGCCGCACTGGTGTGGATCTACAGTCTGACACTAATCGGCGGGATCGTGGGGATCATCTTCATGAGCTTCATCCTGAATCGGCAGAAGGACAAGCTTTCCATCACAAACATCTCCATCATCAACTTGGTGGTGGTTCACGGCACGTTCCTGCTCTCGGTGCCCTTCCGGATCCATTACTTTGCTACCGAAACATGGACTATCACCTTTGAGTTATGCAAGCTTGTAAGCATCATTATCCACACACACCTGTACCTCTCCTTTTTCTTCTACTTGGCCATCTTGGTGGTGCGGTTCTTACCTGTCATAGGAAGAAAGCCGATGGGCTTCAACCGGCCGTTAATAGCATTTCTCGCCAGCGCGACTGTCTGGCTGTTCTTCTTCCTTAGCATATTTCCACCTCTCTGGATACACTATGGAAAAAACCAGAAAAATAATGAATTTGAAGGAAAATGCTTCAAGTTTGAGTCGGATATCAAGGATTATGTCATAACTGTCAACATCATAATGGCTGTCGTCATAATAGCTACTAGCTGTGCTGCCCTAGTCATCCTGTTATTGGTACTAATGAAGATTGCAAGGTCAAACCATGGGAATCTCTTCTCCAACCAGGAGTTTCGGGCACAAATAAACAACATAAGGTTCATTGCCATCATGTTTATTTGTTTCCTGCCCTATCACATCTTCCGGATCTATTACGTGTTGCACGTACACAGCGATAAAACTTTAGCAAACAAAAATGAGGTATATTTGGCCATTACGTCATTGTGCTGCTGGGATCTGCTGACGTTTGTTATAATTAAAAGGTGAAGGATTATATCTCTCATTTATTCCGCCGTCAAGAAACGGACACTGAAGAAAATCAGCTTCCATACATACATCCATCTTCTAATCGTTTATCCTGGTTAAGGTAGTGAGAACTAGTATTCAGCGCTGCATCTGGATAATCCATCATCAAACACTTGCTATAAATGCGGAACATTTTAGAACGATCCATGAACTAGACTTCACTCTGCAGTGAAACAATGACTTTATTGACATTAAAAGGCATGAACAATCAATCATTACTATTATTTTCTGTGTATTAATGGATAGAAATCTTGTGCCTTGCAATGTTTATTTTTTTCCACAGGTTATGCTGTTCAAATGTCCTGCTTTTTTATCTTGGATGTCAAAACAACGGTGTTTTACACTGTAAACTTCAGGTGCCACAAAAGTAACTGTGTAGTAAATATGATACAAAAAGATGTCTGTTTGAATGTGGAGGGTGGCGTTTCGTAGTGCAAACGGTAAACCAACAAATGTTCATATGACAAATGGTCTTGCTGTATGTGCCTTAGTCTACAGCTTAGAAACAGTCGTTAAGCCAGTGATCTGCCTCATTAACGTATTTCCCTAATGTTAAGCACATTCAGCATACTATTTTTAAAAGAATGTATAAAAAGCCTGATTTGAAAAACAATGCATGCAGCTCATTTTATACTACTTATGAATGTTTTGTGCTCCATATACTAATGCAAGGATTGCAAGATTCAAATAACTAATCACTTTTTTTGCACAATACTTTGGAATGCAGAGTACTTTGAAACAGAAGCATGTAGTTTTGTGTATTCGTGATGGTGTTATATGTGACAGGGGAACATCTCCCATTTCAGAGGACACATGCACAGCTAGCACACCCACCAGCCATGCCAAAATGGAAGATTATTGAAGTTGCCCCTGTCGAGTACCTGCACCCTTTCTTCTATAATGGGGAACCCAAAATGAAGTCTGGTCCAAGCTGATTTGCCTATGGCATGCGGCGTGACCAGCACATCATTGCTGACCTATAGACTGATAAATTATTACATACATTTTTGCATATCGTCACTGGTGTAATTTCTCTTAAATTAACAAGCAAATGTTTACTTTGATTTAAATACTTTTTAGTTTAAACTGTGTTTGGATATTCAAACATTTTTCTTTGTTTATCACGCTAAGGTCACCAACATTTAAAATACAGTTTAAAATTACTGTACAATGTCCAATACCTGCTTCTCATTTCCATATTAATTAATCTGTTTTATGTGCCACTTGGTCACTTGTCACATTTTACTAAGAAAATGTTTCACATTACATGTTTTTACATTTCTTCGTAGACCACAATTTATAAACTATATAATCTATTATAAACTGATCCTTAAAAATAGTACTACAAATGGATACTTTATTATTGTAAACACATCATTTTCATTTTCTTTTTACAATATGGCACTTAAACTCATTAGTGTTACAAAACAGAGAGGGATTAAATGTCTCATAATTGATATACGTCTCCCATATTGCTGGTCCAAAACACACCACATATTGCCAGCCTAGTCTATCAAAGGTGGTGGAGCCAGATTCAGCTTGAATTCAGGCAGCTCTTTAATCCCAGGTTGGAAGATGCCGGGCTTTTGTTTGAAGGAATCCCGGCTAGACATCTCTCGTCCGGTGAGTTCCATCAAAATGGAAATCTGTTGTTTTGTTAAAACAAAAAACAAAAAAGTAAAAGGTCTTACAAATCAGGAAACACAGGCTTTGGCAGATACATATACAAATTAAACTTTCTTCAGCAGTGGTTCTCAAACTTTTTGAGATCCCCTAAAAACATCAGTCAATTCATGCGACTGACCCCTTTCAATAAAAAAAAAATAAAAATGAAAACTTGCTAAGGCTAAGTTTAGCTAAGCTAAGTTTACACTCCATGATTTTCCAAGTTATCAGATCACTATACCGCTATTCACACTACACAACTTGTCATTTTGTAATCAGGAATCTTGAAGATGTGGTTTACACATACATGACTGATCAATGACAGGGCTCACAAACTACAAGGTAGTTCACCGGGAGGAATCGCTGATGAGTCAGTCTGGTCTCTAAATTATGTTTTGTCACAAATCCACACATGTGAATGACACTGTAAAATCACAATTCTAATGTCAACATGTTACAAACTGTTAAAACATTTTAATTAGATGGCAACACATATGCACGCCATTTACAAATGCACGGCAAATTAACCCTTGGGTTTCACGTTACCCCATGTCTCGCGCTTTCAGTAGCTATTGCTCGTCGCAGCACTCATTGCCAGTCACACTTTTCACACTACAGTAGTAGTAAGATATATATAATAATAATAATAATAATAATAATAATAATAATAATAATCAGGCATGATAAAAATCTTACAGCAATAAGATATTTGGCACGCTAAATATCTGATGGGCATCTGCGATTCCATTGGGTCGGGTCTTTAAACAGTTTATACAAAGCGATTGAGCGCAAGTTTGCCAGCACAGATCGCACACCAATTTGCCTCCGATCTGGGGGTTTCGTCTCCAAAAATTGTTGGTGAGTGGAAAATTTGAGCAAAAGTCATGTAGTGTGAGCATAATGGAAATTAGCTGCAACGCTTCAAGCAACAAGAGTAATGCCATCACTATTATTATTATCATTATTAATATCTAAAAAAATGTAAATCACATACCTGTTTTTCAAAAAATTACACTATACTGAGTGACCTACCAGACACCTGACCGAAACAGACTCTCGCCTTGTCGCTATTTCTGCAATGACACCTGCTACGCACAACTATGTCATTCAGCTGACCTTTAACCCTGACAAAAATATATTGTGCAATTCTTCACATATGAGAAAGGAGTTCATGGAGGAATAACATCATCATATTTTCTTAGGTTTTAAGGGTAGATAAAGCACAACTACTCAAGCTTGGAGTAAACGGTTGGAAAATGTGACGTACCCGAGAAGGGTTTTTGAAGGCTCTCTTCAGAGAATCCGAAGCTGCAATCTGAGCATGATCCAGCTCTGTTATCTGAGCAAAGTTAAAGGATATTGCTTAATGCAGAACGACGCCTGGTGAGTGTTTCTCCTTAAACAGTGGTAATACACAAACTTTTATTAGAGTCTACTGATAACATTATCATTTGAACTGCTTTAGATAGACTTGTGCCAAGATCATCTTTAAAGAAGATATACTAGCCATTTAATGGGTAAAAATAAAAGACCAACTCTGAGTTTGTCTTCGATGTGTGCAAACGGTCTAATAAGCTCTTTTAGAAACTGCTTCAGTAACTTTCTCAGCCATTCAGCTAGGCCTCTTTACATAATGAGAGTAATCAGAATTTAAAAGGGAACTAACTGCAATGAGTGTGTACATACCTCAGACTCTTGTTCAGCCTTCTCAGTTGTGATGGGAAACCACTTCCTCTTAGGCGACTGGCACTTGAAACAGGCCCACTCCGGCTCCGTCTGAGCCTCCTGCTGCCTCAGGCTGCTCTGAAGGCAGCCATAGTGGTAAACATGGCCGCAGCTACATCGGCGCATGGGGGCAGAATGAAAGATCGGCTGATCTTTCACAGAGTGACGTCGCATGAGAAACGCTGGCCTAAGTCAACAGTGGGTTGCGGTCGCCTCACCTGAAAACGATGAGCCGGGCCCCCCAGCTGTACCTCTGAGTGCACACCCCACACCGCTGATGGGCAGGGGAAAGGCCACGTGAAACCGCAGATCGCAGGCTGCAAAGATACCAGTGCAAGTCCTGGCTGTAAAGGCTACTGGTGGCCTCCATGAGGGTCTACATACACAGGAAACACAAAAGATGGTAGGAAAATGGTATTGTTCTCCAACAGAGGTGAAGTAATGTTCTCAAACAAAGGGGAGATAATGTTGTACATCAGAGGGAAGACAGCATTTTATTACAGATGATATGCCATGTTTTCCAACTTACATTCTAGAAAAAGGGTGACAAACTCAATCACGGAAATGGCCATATGAAATTTTCAGGCCGACCAAGACTTATTTAGTTTATAACAGTATGACCCAGACCATATTAATTATTATTATTATTATTATTATTATTATTATTATTACTATTATTACTATACAAAAGAATAAGATAAAAAGGAGATAAACTTTAATGAAATCAAACTTTACCGATCCCAGGCGAACATTGTTGAAAAAATTATGGAGTGGAATTATAAGCGGTACTACCATTTGAAAAGATATTCGCTAAGGAACGACAAAATAGCTATGGAGCAATTTAGGGGCTGCACACTTCGAAGGACGTGGTTGGCACAGGCTTTTTTTGGGTTGTAATGGTACATACAGTCAAGCCCAGAATTATTCATACCCCTGGCAAATTTTGACTTAAAGTTACTTTTATTCAACTAGCAAGTTTCTTCTTGATTGGAAATGATACAGGCGTCTGAATAATTTTGGACATGCCACTTTTTGTTCAAATGTAAATAAAACCTGAGAAATATTTTTTCCCCACAATGATGCCTCTTGTACATCGTCTTGTTATTTTCTGGGAGATACCTGTATCATTTCCAATCAAGAAGAAACTTGCTGGTTGAATAAAAGTAACTTTAAGTCAAAATTTGCCAGGGGTATGAATAATTCTGGGCTTGACTGTATATTCATCATGTGCGGTTCACTTACATCATTTTCAGTTCAGAATATACAAAATAGAAGAATACATTTCCTGACATGGTCGAAACCGAAACACACTACACGGAAAAAGTATTTGGTCTTTTAAACAGGAAAAAACTGCTTCATAAAATAAAGGTTGTCTGACAAACGCAAATCCATTTACATAAGACAGCTTTGCATCTTGCAAATGTTGTTTAAATATATTTTTTTTCACATACCGGCACATTTCCTCTGTAAGATAAGATACACTTTAGTGATCCCAGGGGGAAATTTGCAAATATATTTGTAGCGACTAATGTAAATATGTTCATTTAAGTTACCCTGATATCGGTAAATTTAAATTAGTGACCAAACATGACCGTTAGCTAATTCAGTAACAGACAATACATACTTCTAGGTCTGGGTGAAGTTAAGGACATCTGCTAATAAACTACTTATGGAAGGCAAAATTCTTTAAAATATTTACCCTGAACAAGCAGCCCACTGAACGAGGACAATGTGAAAAATAACAAACATGTCTGCAGCATCTGATAAAGAATAATTATCAGATGTTGTCAAGTCAACATCACATAGAGGTAGCATTCTTCCAGAACATTCAATCTGGATCTTCAGTTCCCAAAGGAACAAGCAATATATTTAGTTTAATTATAAGATGCCATTACCTAAAAAGACAAGTTTTGAGAAAGCACACCCCCCATGCCTGAGGCATTTAAGCTGAGAGTTTTATCAAACTGGTACTGGCTTACTTTCTCATAGACGTAAGCATCAATTATGCCAGAAATCAACGTCTTCATTTCCCCGTAGCTGCCGACGTTGTGAAGCGAATCCTAAGAACAAATCAGATCAGATAAGACCACATGTGTCTGTTACAGTGCAGTAAGTTTCACACAGAGGCAGTGTGAGTTGTTAAAATATGCACAACTACAACTGCTTTAAAATAATAACTGGATCATCGTATGTACATATCCATTTAGTATTCAAACATGGCATTTATACCAGGGTCTATGTAAGTCAGCATAAGCAGAGCAGACTTTGGATTATCCAATAATAACAGTTATAAACCCCCTCACTCCTCTGTAACAGAAAGGGCCCAAACACATCCTTAATATTTAGCGAAACCAGAAAGCCCAGTTAGATGGTGGGCTAAGCTGCCCATAGAAACAGTACCTGCATAAGTTGCTGGAGGATGTCCATTAGAGGGATATAGGAAGTCATGCTTTCTATCACCTCCTTGGTGAGGTTTTTAATGCCTGTGGGTCAAAGAGAACAGAATATAACATAGTAAACTGTCCCTGCCCCCAAAGGTCATGACAAGGACTTAGGGCAGTGTTCTCCAACCCAGTCCTCAGGCACCCCCAGACAATCCACATATTGCTTCCGGGAGCTGGGAAGGAGCAAAATCTTACACTGTCTGGCAGGGAGCTGGGAGAGAGCAAAAACATAGACCATCTGGCGGGCCCCAAACACTGGGCTGAGAAACACTGAATTAGGGTACAGCATCTGACAATCTATACTATTAATGATGTGTCGGTTTGGTACAATTTACAGATACTAAACATTTCCTTTCAAATTTGCTACAGATCAGTGTTTCTCAATGCAGTGTACGGGTATCTCCAGACAGTACGTATTGTTGCTCCCTCCCAGCTCCCAGGACGCATGATCTAAAGAACCAAGAACACAGGATAACTGTTACTTTCATGTTTATGAACAAAAAACATTTATTAGTAGAAATGCTGGAATAGCATTGTTTTAAAATCCTGTCGAAGCACCATATACAGCAGTATAGTGTCTGGATGGTACAAAAAACAAGATAACTGCCTAAGCCTACTACTATTAAACAATTCTCATTTGAGACCTAAGCAAATGTTTTTAATTAAACTGAAGTCTTTGGCCAAAACCATAAGCCAGCCGTTAGTTTGAAATTACCAGCTGCTAAGATCAAAAGCCAGTCATTATGAATAAATGCGTAAGTGTGGGTTAATGCGCATTAAGCCATGCATTACACGTTTTTAATCACATTCCATGGAGGAAAACTAATGTAAATATATACATTGAGCCATTGTTTTATTCATTTAGATTTATGTACCTCCAGGAAAGTTACCAAATTCCCCTGAGGTGCGAATGGGTGTGTGACGGGTGAGAGTGAGCGGTGAGAGTGAGCGGTGTGCGCTAGAGGTGTGCGCGAGCGGTGAGAGTGAGCAATGTGCACGAGCGGTGTGTGCGAGAGGTGAGAGTGAGCGGTGTGTGCGAGAGGTGAGAGTGAGCGGTGTGTGCGAGAGGTGTGTGCGAGCGGTGAGAGTGAGAGGTGTGTGTGAGCGGTGTGCCACTTTATGGACCACTTTAAAAAAAATATCATCAAGGCAAACAAAGACAACATATTTGGCCAAGAAAGTTTTTAGGGAACAGAGCTTAATGAACCAACTTGGTACCAACAAGCATGCTTGAAGTTAAGGGATGTTAGAGGATTGACCTCAGATTTACCGAGGAAGAAAATCAAACAATTAATGAATAATTGCGGAATATGATTAGGACAAAATTACATTTTTGCAAAAACTCTTACCATACCACCAAGCTCAAATCTACGCAAAATGCTATTCTAATTGCTGCTAAATTAAATGAAAATTACAATTATATGCTAAATGTGCCTGTCTCATAACCTGTTCCCTCAAAAAAACACTGCAGGAGTGAAATCTGCAACATCCAGCCAGGAAACAGCCTGCACCTTGTATAACCACTCACCTCTCTCAACTTCGGCCGACAAGGGGCGCTGTACCTGCTCAGCAGGGGACAGCAGAAAGCTGAGGAGCGAAAACCACAAGTCCTGCAAACAGAACAAGCGACACTCTGAAGGAGACATGCCATGATGAAAAGAGCCTGGTAGATGATCACCACACTATTACTTCTGTCTCATTTCCATGCTTGAGAAGCTCAAAGCTCAGACACTGTAATGACACTCACATCTCTTTGCTTGCTGTCCAAAGTGCCCGACACCCGCTGTAGGAAGGCCATGACATCACGCAACACTGACTGGACCTCCTGAAAGGGGTTAGTCTCTTCACCCAGACTCCCTGGTAGAACCAAAGGTCAATGATTTGAGGGATCACTCAAATACAGGAAGGTTGACTTAGTAAGACTGTTGGCTTCCAGAATCAGAACCATGCATCACACATTTTAACAAAAAGGCAAAATGAAGCAGATTCCTCTTTGATTTGAAAACTAAAACCCAACATCTATGTCTTTCTCCCCACTAGCATTGTTTGTCTGTATTGTATCATACCACCAATTGTTTGCCCAATATTAATGGGAAAGTGCCCAAGTAACATTGCTCAGCAACACTGCCTGATAACATTGCTCAGCAACACTGCCTGATAACATTGCTCAGCAACACTGCCTGATAACATTGCTCAGCAACACTGCCTGATAACATTGCTCAAAACAGTTGCCACGTGTATCATCACCCTAAGAATTTCCGCCATGAAGCGGACATGCCGCAGTTATACTTCTTTCACGTCTCTTGCGTGCATTATGCAGAAAAGCAGACGGAAGATGAAAATCACTGTTGCCCACTGTCCACTGCCAGCTGATAAGCAGGGCGGCAGATGAGAGATATGACCTTATGTATTCTGTTTTAAAACAAACAAAAAGGGTGAAAGAGCAGAGCCAACAACCCCAGTAAGCAAAAGCTGCTACAAAAGGGAAACATCTACATTGGTGAAGCATCTGTCTCTCACTCTCTCACTCTCCCTGGTTTAAAGATCGTCAGGTTGCAGGATGATAGATTAGACATGTGACAGCAATGTAATTTAGTGATTATGACATTTCGTATTTCTGTATAGTTATGTTTAATCTATGTGAACTCATTCATATCCCTTTCGGCAGTGATGAAAAGCAGACTGGGCTAAACGATTAACGAGACTAACACAAATATACACCTAATGTTAGTGTATTATGGATGAAGACAGGACCACCCAAGAGTAGATTCACACTCGGGAGGAAGCAGGGGGACTGACCGCTAGACATAATCACTCATTCCTCATGTAGAGGGAACCGACTAAACTGGTTAAGCAGGAGCGAAACTACAATGAGGCACAGCTGTTAGTATTCAGGTGAGCGAGACTGGGCGCGGAGGCCTGCCAGCGGAGGCCTGCCAGCGGAGGCCAACCTCTCAGCCATCTGCCAGATAGGCTTCAGGTTCAGTCTTTTTGTTCATAAACATTGACCTTCAGTTTTGTGAGAAATGTCAAACTGAGGGGAAAAAAGTGCTGGACATAGTGGAGTGAAATCTTGTTTGAATCATGTTCAAGTGAAATGACACCGTTTGTCAGTGTAACCAAAATAAAATATTTTTATATGAATGAACACTGGCAATTTCTGGCAATCTGTATGCAGAATGCATACAATAGGAACAATATCATAGGCTGGGGGAGGACACAAACATGTTTTCCTGGACACAGGGGGATAAAAAAACCTTGAGAACTACTATGAGAACCTAAAGTTTTGAGAACCTAAAGTTCCAAAATTAAACTTTTACTGTTGATCTAACTATTCCCTACCCTTTATCAGGGTACAGGGGTACACCCATGTTTACTATGATATTAAATGATGCTTTATTTGTGTACAGGTACATTAGAATGATTCTTTTGGCATATTCCATCATGCTCTTTTTTGAGACACACACACACACACACACAAACACACACACACAGTTGAGAGCAAAGCCTGGTGTCTGAATGCAGGGTCAGCCATTTATCCATTAATCCCCTGGGACATTTCGGGGGTTAAGGGCCTTGCTTAAGAGTCTAAGGGAGATGTAACTATTCTGCCAAAGACAGAAGTCGAACCAGCAACCTTCTGATCACAGGCACAGAGGCCTAACCAACTAAGCCACACCCATGTATAATACTTGTACTGAAGAGCATAAAATGATTTTTGAAACATTAACATATGCATTGTTATAAGCATGAACACATCAGTATGTAGTTTATACAGGTAAATGTGCACTACCCATACACTCATGAAAGCCCCTCAGACTTGTATATATAGTTGTACAGGAAGGTAAGGTGACTTAGTATCCAGGCAACCATGGATGAAAATAACTGCAGCATGTAAAGCAACGTCAGGCATGACCCACCTTCACGATCCGCTAGGTCAGGACACAGCGAGTTCTGCAAACCCACTTTAACACACTAAGGATAAAAAAAGGCAGAACTGGTGACTCAGGAAGCCCCAAACCACACACTGTTATGTCTGTAAACATGCACAAAAGCTACACAGAATTTATAAAAGCTGCACAACTCCCCTATTTTAATTTAGTGTGACCGACTTGATAGGAAGAAAAGGACTTAAACACAATGCATCACCCAATGGAAGTTCATTATTACACTGACTTATTAGGAAGTAGCCTGCCTCTATTTTTTTTAAAACATTCTTTCCTCACCTCCATGAGCACCGAGAATGCAGCTTCAGTCTTTCCCTGCTTCTCCAGCAGATATGCCAGTGCATCATGGACCTTGTGTTTGCGAGTTATCTGAGCAAAAACGGAAATATCCATCCATCCATTTGCAATCCAATCAGAGGCTTAGCCCACTGAGCCACGCACTGCCCCCCAAACTGTGTAATCTGCCCTCAGTTTGGTAAGCAGGTTAGTACTGTGCCTAAAAAAATTAATGACGTGTGTATTCTGATGCCCAAAAGTTAGTAATCTGTATAAATTCAACATATGCTTATTAAATTCGGTTAGCGGAGCGAGCCACATGCTACTGTTTTAGTATGTAATGGAGATGATAAGGACTGAAGTGGCGGTGAAGAAAGGAGCAGCTCAGAAGCCACAGCATCTTTAGAAAGAGGAGATATTGGGGATAAACAAGGTAAAAAGATGGGGGTGTGGCGGCACTTTTTGCAGTTTAAAATCCGACATGTTTATACAACGCAAGGATACAAATCACTAATAACTTTTGGCGTCACAATATGCATCTCATTAATATTTTAGGCACACTACTAAACTGCTTACCAAATGTCGGTATAGTACTGAAAAGCTGCCTTCCGGACAAATGTTTCACCCATCGTCTAAAGCCCTGGTGATTATTGTGCATGCGCCACATGATTCTGATTACATCGTGACGTGATCGCAACAGCCTGAAAGGGTTGGGCCACACAGGAAAGATCTGTGAAGGGAAGAGTGGCCGGACTGAGACAGAAATTTGCATAATGCCAATTCTGGTGCTCAGAAATGAGGCAAGAGTGAGCTAGTACTGTGATATCTATGAGCAGAGAGGGGCCTCCCACCCCAAATACCGGGAGACTCGTGGTGAGAAGGTCAATTATTTGAGGCTGCCTTGTGAGTGGGCTGTATGTCGGTGGGTGTCAAAGCTCTTCATAAGGCTTGTAGCTTAGTGATGTTCTGGCACCTTGCATTATGGTGTAACAGCTGGATTCCCCCATGAGTCAATTTAACTGCCTCAGATGAGGTTAAAGGTACAGAATTTCGAAAACAGGATATTGTGCAAGTTGGATCCAGCTCACCATAGTTTTTACTATGGTAACAACGCAGGCACACAATACTTAATTAATGAAAATGCTAATTAGACTCCGCTATCAATTAGAGGAAAATCCTTGAAAAGTCCAGAGATGTCAATCCCCATCGTTGCACACACTCACATGTGATTAATGGTGATTTAGAGATGCCAATTAACGTGACTGCATGTGGAATGCGGCAGCAAACCCAGGACCCATGCAAAAGAAAAATAAGGGGAGGAGGTGCAAACTCTAGTGGCAGAATTCAGGCCTCAAACCCCGGAGATGTGATTCTACAGTGCCCCCATTCAGCCACCTTGCTGCCCCAGGTAAAAATGCCCTCCTTCAGGGATTATATGAAAAATATTAAATGAAATATCTGGCAACCTGTGGATCAATGGTGCTAAAAAAAAAGCTCTTCTAAGCAGAGCACTGGCACAGAAATAGCTTGTAAAAATCTAAGATGGTTAGGTGTTTTACTTCAACTGCCTCTTCTGGCCTGTAGGTGTCTGACAGTTTGAGGAAGTCCACGGCGCAGTCTGGCTGAGTCTGACACAGCATGTCCAGGTATTTCTCGTGGTAGCTGTGGTCCAGCAGGCTGGAGGCTTTAAAAGGCCACGGATCCACTCTGTACCAGACACCGTGAAATAAGTATAAATATATACTTTATTGGTTGATTTTGATCCTCACACTGTCCCTTTAGATTATGAGACAATGCAAGACCAAAAAAAAAATACAATTTTTTTTAATATGAAGTAAATCACATTAATGCGATCCTGAAAGACAACGGCAGAAAGACGAGTCGATGTGAAGTCACTTTAATGATTTAATTAACCTGTACAGGATAAGCAAATATGACAGATGGACGGATCCTACCTAGGGTTGAACAGTCCGTGAAGAAAGTCAAAAAGCGATTTGGTGTTCTACGGGTAAAAATATAACAGTGTAAAGAGACAGCAGTGTTTTAATCAGGTGGACAACGAGGCTGCAAAAAGAAATCAGTATAGAAGGAGTGATGAGTCAGCTACCTGCTGCAGGACTTCCAGGATGAGGGGGACGCTGCTCTGGAGGTGTCGCAGGACCAGGGAAGCGGTGAGCCTTGGGTCTAAAGCCAGCAGCTCCTGTGGGCAGAGATTCCAGAGGATGGCCTCGTGCGGCATGTTCACAAGGAGCACCTGTGCTCAAAACAGCAGACGATTCCTTCCCTTTTACAAGTAGCAGATAAACCGTTACAGGGTTGTATTTGAAGAAGAAGAAAAAAAAAAGAACAAATGACGAAACAGATTTAAATAAGTCAGAAGCTGGGTGAAGAAAAAAATAGATGTTTACCCATTTCTCTCACGCACATTCTCTAATGCTCACTCACACTGTTGTGACCACTGCAGAAAAAACACAATGCTAACAGTAGTATAACAAACTTCTCTGAAACATGAAAATATTTTCTCTGAAAACCATCTCCTTGTGCCCAAGGAGGTCCATCCTGGGTATCCAGCAGAGTATGTCCACCCCAGGGCGCACGCACACGTGCGCAGGCACGCACGCATACACACACACACACACACACACACACCCAGCCAGCCAAGGTAGCTCGGATGGGCAGAAGCCATACTTGCAGGTTGCAGATGATTTCATTCTGCAAAAGCACCTTCTCCTCATCTGTCAGTTCACCAGAGCTGATGACGTCATCCAAGTATCGTAGCGTCTCACCCTGGTGAATCAAGCAAACAAGCAAAATAAACAAAACAAAACAAGACAAACAAACGCTGATTAAACTACACTGGCTATACTTTAGGAAAGCCATTTTTAACCAAATTTTTAACAGCAGTTAGCTATTTTTTCAGAATATTTAGAGCCACAATAAATTTTAATAGCATTACTTTTTAAACAGGCAGTTATACAGGTCACCCAACCAAACTGTCTTGTCACATGATGTTCATCAGCATGCAAAGTCACATGAGGTAATGATCATCCTCCACATGTGTTACGGCCTGGTTAAGCACACCAACATGACGGCATCATAATGCAGTTCTTACGCATACTATACCTTTCTTGCAGGGTCTTTCAGGTAACAGGCAAAGATCTGATGATAAAGGCGCTTTTGCTCATACAGAAATTCACACACCTGATAACTACAAACAGAAAAAGGTTGTGATATAGTGTGAAAGCTGAGAATATGCTTTTTTACATAGAAACGCACATTACTGCAGAGCAGCTTTCACTCCTCTAATGATAGAAATTTGTGACATTTCTTTTCATAACAGCATGAATGCGCCTGAAAGACGTATGTATTTGTGCTGTTACAACAAGAAATTACCGTGCATTTTAACCTTTATACTGGTGAATACGTACTTGTGTATCAGTTTTGTCAATAAGTACAATAAGGCACTATAATAGATAATGTGTAGGGGAGCTTTTAAAGGACATGATCAAACTAGAAGCCAGAAGAGGAAAAATGTCTAAAATAAATACATCTAGTAATTCAGTCGAAGTAAAGTTTTACACCATCTAAAACTTTTAAGAAAAATTAAGAAAAAAGTCAGTGTGACTGATGGTTTTGGCAAAGGAGCATCCAGGGCTGGTGTCTCCATATTAAAGGAATAACTGTTTACTTCTAGCCTTAACAGAAAAACACCCAGGAAGTTCAGGGCACTCACAACTGCACGGCCTCGGCCATGGAGAGCAGCTTGGACTCCTCAAAGTAGGCAGCAGCACCGGCGCTCAGGAGGTCCAGCAGAGCCTGGGCACACGGGAGCCAAGGTCAAAGATCAAAAAGTGGCAGTTACCATAAGGACTGGGCAAATGCATCCTAAACTTGAGTCATTACAAGTGGGACAGGAGGTCACTTTAATATGGAATTTCCCCATTTCGAAAGATGGACCGGCCTCTTTCTTAACAGGGAAACCTGCAGCGGTTACTGGAAGCACTCAGAAATCTGACACGTGCTTGATCAGAACTGGGCTCCTTACGTCACAAAAGGACAGAAGGGCCACTGGTCTGATGATATCTAGCACGCCTACTGAGGTTGCCCCCGCTGCTTGTGGAGGTCAAACCCATGCAACTGTGCTTATCACGTAAACTAAACGCTTCCTCATTCACAAGGCACACAAGTGTGAGGAGGCCCAACACGCAAGTCTGCAAAGCACCTCCTCTTTTCTTCAAGAAAGTCTATATTTCAACTGATCCTTTCCATTAAACGATTAACAAAACAGCTGAACATCTAAAAATGCAACAAGCATATTAAAATTGGGCTGCACAAAATCACATAGCGATATTACCACGATTATACAGTATGGCGGATGCACAATAGTCACCAGGGCTTCAGGTGGTGGCATAAACATTTGTCCGGACGCCAGCTTTTTGGTACTATACGGATTTGGTAAGCAGATTAGTAGTACCCTTAAAATATTAATGAGAGGCATATTGTGATGCCCAAAAGTTAGTAACTAATATAAATTTGGTGTTTCCTTGTGTTTATTAAATTCGATGGTTGGGGCATGCCAAGTACTACTGCTTTCATATATCATGGAAGTGATATATTAGCCCTGAATGGGCGGTAAAGAAACGGACAGCTCAGCAGCCACAGCATTTTTTGAAAGAAGAAACATGGTATATAAGGTAAAAGACACATTGGTGATACGGCGGTACTTTATGCAGTTTACAGTCTGACTCGTTTATTAAACATAAGGACACATCAAATAGATTACTAACTTTTGGGCATCACAACACACACATTAAAATTTTAAGCGCATTACTACTCTGCTTACCAAATTGCGGGGGTAAGGAAACATCAGTAAAGTACTGAAAAGCCAGTGTCCGGACAAATGTTTACATCCGTCATCTAAAGCCCTGGTGATTGTTCCACCTGCACCATATAATTGTGATGTGATATTGTGCAATTCTGATTAAAAAGGTAAATCATTACTGAACAAATTAAAAATACAGCCACACACAGTGCTGGAAATGCTAGATGGATCAGCCCTTAAGCGCTTTTGATACACTGGGCAATAGAGGCACTGACGCCCGGTGCCGGCACTGAGCGGCAGCTGCTGGATTTGCTGCACGCACAGTTCACATTAGCCAAAGGATGGTGGTGCCATTGAGAGCTGCTATCTTACCATCCAGACTCATTCATCTCTCAAACAGCTTCGGATCCAAATCAAACTGCTTCTGCTGCAAATTAGTTTCTGCACTTAATTGACATGACTGCAGAGACTTTTGAGAGTGGTCTCAAAAGTTACGTTTATTATTATAATACAAGGGCAGAATTGTTGGTTAAGTGGTCAAATGATTAACATTACTATATACTGTACTGCGGGAAGCTTTCGGGTCATTATCAAGAAATGGGTAGTATTGCTTTAAGATGGAGAGACGCCTCTTTAAGAACGAAAGTTCCGCCTTTACTGACAGCTCACTGCCAGGTCAAACCAGAAGCGTGTCAGACACGGGAGTCAACGTGACACTCACACATGGGGTCAGACTCTAACAAGCATATATACTCCAAAGAAAAACTCGGCTATAACATGTACTATTTACAGCACCAAGTCATAAACACCTGCACCAAGTCATAAACACCTGCACCAAGTCATAAACACCTGCACCTATGTACAAGGTCGGCACATTTAGGCTTCATCACGGCGCACACGGAAGCATACCGGTATGCCAAACAGATAAGTCTAAATAGCTGGCCCAGCGGTGTCACAATACATTCCAGTTGGGTTGGTTTGTAAGCAAACAAAAACAATTGCTCTTTATATTGTGGATTGTGATTCACACCAAAAATATTGCGACATGACATTTTGGCCATATCACACACCCCTATGTAATTACATCTTTACACATTACAATTCCAATTTCCATGTATTCTTTAGCATGCAGTATCATGTGTGTACTGTAGCTGTGTTTGATTCCATTCGTAATTTTAATCTCGGCTTAAGTGGCAGAACATGAGTATTATTGTTACCTGTTGTCTTTCTGCTTGCTGGGTCATATCCGCTGGGTTACACAGAAAATCAAGTGCCTTGGTGTGAAAGAAGGACAGAGTGCTATAGTGTGTGTGAAACTTTAATTCAGGAATATTATCCAGTAGGGTATTGAACACCCAAAACATCCTGCCATTCTTGAGGACAACAGCACATCTAAAAAAACTAATTATAAAAACTAAGAATTATGCACCAGACATTTAAAAACAATGAGATAACATATTCAGGTAATAAAATAATTTATAAAATAAATATTTCCTGCATAGAATTTCTACATTTTACCAATGTTTTATATATATCCATGTGCATTTCATTTCAAATTCAGGTACAAAACTATATTTATAAAAAATCAAATCTTTTAATCTAACAACAATTACAATTAAAAAAAATGCACGACACAACGAAAAATGTCTCAGTCGGAATATCACACATACAGGTTACCTGGGAAATCACATGCACAATTAGTAGAGGAATTAAGGGAGGATAAGGACTCACCTGATGGAAGAGCTGATGGTTTACAAAGAGGGCATCCTTGGCCTTGGCCAGCTGCCGGGCCAGGAAAGTGAAAAGGCTCCCGATCTGAGAGGGACTGAAGCCTGTGCTCTCCAGCATCACCTTCCGGAAGGCCAGAGATGTTCAGCAAAGAGAAACAGTCAGGGCAGCAGTTTCAGTTTGTTTCCCCAGTCTGGTCATTGTATTGTCCGTCTGCGTTTTGCATGCCTTACCTGTAATTAAACCCCGTATTCCCCGATACCCTGATGTCTGCGCCTTTTGTCTCCGTTCCTTCCCAGCTTGCACGACAATATTATTATAATTAAATGTATTAATGGTTTATTATTAATATTAAAATAATTAATAAGAAATATTTATTTTTAAATGTATTTTATTATATAATAATAATTACTGTTACTGTCTATCATTGTCTAAATGTATTTTTACTGTCTAAATATATGTATTCAGTTAGTGTAAACATGCACGGTGCTATCACAGCTAATGCGAGGCTGAGACTGAAGCTTTACCCTTTGTTTCCGCTGAGAGGCGTGCTGCATGACTCATTTCCCGGCGCGTATAAGTTATCTTAGGTCGGTGTTCACGGTTTGACTTCTGAGTTTCAGATTGAGTTCTAGGCAATTTTTTTTCGAACTGGTTGGTTCGACTTTTAAGAAATTCGGTTTCTAATGAGTTCAAGAACCAAGGTCCCACTGTGTGTATACTGTATATGTATGTGTATATATGTATGTGTATATATGTATGTGTATATATGTATGTGTGTGTATATATATATACAGTATATATATATATATAAGCACATTAAGACATTAACCCATGGTTACCACACATTTGGCATACACATTTGTACCAAAAGGCATTATTTTCATGTTTACGAACCAAAAACACAGTTATTAGTAGAACTACTTGTCTATTGCCGAAACCATAAGCAAGTGATTAGTTTGAAATTGCCTGATTCACCTGGCTGGCATGTGTGGTTCTAAAAACTGGATCCAAATCCTTCTGGCCAATCAAATTCAACAATTAAACAGTGCCGCTGTGTAACAGTAAATTTAACACGTTCAGGTGATTTTGGTCAACGATGGACCACATACAGTATGTGACAGTGCTCCAATAATATTACAATGGAGCTGAAAGAAATAGAAACACACATAGAAACATCATCTCCCACATAACATGTTTGTGGTGATGCTAGTACAAGCAAGCCTACGGAGCTGCCACTCATGTGAAAGCATGGCACATACAATTATGTACACAATACTTGAAACTGAAACTACATTGGTGGTTTAGGTATTCATATTACTGCACTTTTCATCAGTATTTAAACTATACCATATAGGCTAGATGTGTAGTAGGCTATACCATCTAGGACCGTACAAGTACACTCAATGATGTTCGCACAATGACGAAATTGCCTGATTAAATGCATCTCTCACATCCCCCTCATTAAGCAACGCATGACTGAATACACACTGTGGAAAAATGTAAATCTATAATGTTTGAGATCTACTCAGATTAGAGGCCATGTGCAGACCTTAGATAATGAAAAAAAAAACGTAATAAATAAAGTAATGAATTACATATTTGTTTTGCATTCTCACCTGTAAAAGTATGTCTATCACTCGTTGATGAAACTCAATTGCTTGCTTGTCTTGCAGATCTTCAAATGCCTGGATAACATTAAAAAACAAACAGTGTTTACCCAAATATAAGATGATGTTTTTTCTCTCCTTAACATACATCTGAAAAAGTGGTGGTGTCTAATATTCAGGGTGTAGACAAAAAGGGAATAGATGGAGCCATATACGATATAAAGTGTTTTGGTAAGCTTACTGTAATATAGGTTTGCGTGAGCGTGAGGGTCACACTAGATGCGTGGGAGTTGGCAGCCCAGGCAGAGTGTATGTGTAGCGTGTGTCACTGAGTGTCGTGTTAATTGTTGGTTTCCCTGATAGTGGCCGTTAATAAATATAGTGACATTCATTTTAAAAGAGCTGTCATGTCATTTATTAATATGGCTGAACCTTTCTCCACAACACAATTTTTTACCCTCTTCATGTGGGTCTGCTGCACTGAAAACATTGGGTGACCTCAAGGGTTGTGGAGCTTGTAATATTCATCCCCCCCCCCCCCAAATAATGCATTTGTTTTTTGGAATTTTTGCTGTTATTGTTATTATTAATGTCATTGCACTTGCGATTGCCTGTGGTTGCTTCTTAAACTGTGGTTCCTGATTATTATAAGCTTTTGTCAAATAACATTATTTAAATAACTAACATTATTTATCTTTATTAAGGTAAGGCTTGATATTCCAAAAACATTTTTTTCTTCTTCAAATGGCTGCCAATAAGTGGAGGGTCGTCTTACGATTGGGGTTGTCTTGTAATCGGGCCAATACAGTACTTTAACTACACCACACAGCACCATGGACTCAAACTGGAAAACACGTCATTTCCCCACCACCCCAGCCACACGCTCACCAGCGACAGCACGTTGAGGAACTCCTTTGTGTTGTGCTGAAGCAACGTCCGAATTAACAGGTATGGTCCTTCGCTTGCCTCCACATCCTTCACCCACACTTTGGTGAGGCAAGTGAACACCTGGGGGGGAGAAGATTGTGGACATCAGCAGCACCCGTCACAGGACCTGAGAACCTAGCAGAGGTTTTAGCTTGTTTACCTGCCAGCCACACAAGATTCATGCTATAGCGGACACCTGAATTTCAAAACAGAATCAAAGACTCTGCTCTAACTGAGAATAAAATGCTTTCTCATCAGTTAAAATCAATAACATTTCCTATTTTACTGCTATAAACTGTGTGGAATGTCTGCCGGGCAGATTTGATTTGCTAATGAAGAATTTTTGGTAGTATGGGAAAAGAATCTCCCTTCTAAATGCAGATTCCACACAGCTACAAGGAAATAACCGGAAATATATTAGCCTTACCTGTGTTTTTACAGTCTCCACCATAGGGGGCAGTATTAAGCCATAGGGGTAGGCCTTGCCAGACAGGCAGCAGCTAATTATGGGAGACAGCCATCTAATCAGACCATCAGTCATGAAGATACTAGCAAATATGATGTCAACAAGGGCGTAAAGGCGATATCACTGATAAATTCTGTACTGCCCATATGTGCATATGGTTTCTAACCCTTATATATACATTTTTTTTACCTGATGTAGACTAAAACCTTGTTGCCCACTTTCACATGCTCATCTGTATGAGAAAACAAGAACAAAAAGTGGTTATTTTGGTGTCACATCATCACACTGATATAGATAGATCAAAATTAAAGTTACACATTTTCATGTCAGCTTAACTTATTGTTCTTGATTCAATGGAACATTGACTTTTCCCCACAAAGATATAATTACAAACCCATGCGTGTGTGTGTGTGTTTGTGGATCAACTTTATGTACTAATCAAAACAACAGCGGATGTTCATAGTTTGAAATTCACACACAGCAGGTAATTATTGCATTTGAACTAAATCAAGATATGGAGCAAATAAGTCATATAATAATGATTCCTCCCAATAACGCCTGCACAGGGATCTCCATCATTCTCCATGTTTGCATTAAAGGGTAACGCTTTACATTAACTGCACCTTCATAATGCACCCATTATGGCTTTAATATACATTAATAACATTATATACGAACAAACATTATAATTGCATAATGATATAATGTTTGTTAATAACGTATATTAAAGCTGTTATGTTAAGATATTAAGGCATACTTACATGCTGCTTACCAGTGTTCTATGAGTGCATTATGAAGGTGCACTGAATATTCTACAAATTAATCATAAAGGCATTATGAAGGTGCAGTTAATGTAAAGCGTTAATGAAATCTCCCAGTAATACAAGTGTGCATAGGAGGTCCTTTATAGCACCGTGCCTCATTCTCCAAGAAGGCTGGCCACTCTGACCTGCTATGCACTGCATACATACAAACAAGAGCCTTGCAGGTGGCGAGCCCACAACACACTTAACACAATGACTGAAACAACTGTAAACAACTTCCTGCTCCATCTCCCTGCAATGCTCAGGCCACGCGACATTCAGAATGCAGACAGCTAATCTATAAAAGTGCGCTTGGAGATCAGTGGTCTGACGAAGAGATATGATGGCGGACGGGTGACCGGCTTGTGCATTTCTCCTACCTGCTGCCCCGGCGTGAGATGTCTGGGTCATACTGCAAATCAGCTCCTGTCAAACGGTTAACCATACAAGTTCAGCTCGACATATCACAAAATGAGCCACAAGACTGAGCTGTAACAGCTTTCATTTTGCTTTCCTCCAAGGGCGTGGAAGGTGAGAAAACTTAGCCAGTCATTCATCCACAGGAACAGTAAATGCACTTACAATAAATTATTATTGCACATTGATAGAACTAACTCAAGCCACATAAAAATAAAACTTTAAAATAATTAAATTTTATTTTACTAAATATTGTCAAACAGCATTTTCATCTGACCAATTGTACCCCCTGCACCCTCAGAAGAAAAAAAAAGAAAAATACACATTTATTTAGCAAAGACTTTTACACTAAGTGATGCATAAGAAAGCAGGGTTACCCAGTCCCTAGAGGAGTTGGGCTGAAGGGCGTTACTCAAGGGCCCATGGGTGACATCACTCTACCAACCTCGGGATTTGAACCAGTGACCTTGCATTCACAGGCCAAGTCCAAACCCACAGAACCACGCACCCCCTCCGCAGGTTATTTACCTAGGAAATATATGCCCTTATGCAAAAGAGGTCTCCTCACACTCTGTACCTCGTCTCTTGGTACAACTGTGTCCATTATGGGTTTATAAACAGGAACTTCATAATTCTAATCTTACCACAATATCTCAATGCTTAAAAGCTGTTGCTCCTGCATAACTGCACCTCAACCTCACCACAATGACGTGGCCTGACAATTTTCCATAGAATTAATTGATTCTTCAATATCGGGCAGTCACCCAAGCATAGCAATAGACATTGAATGGTGACTGAACGGTGGTGCAGCCCAGAAACCTTGGAAGTGGGCTTTTCTGGACTGAGGGGTATCAACAGGTTTCATCCAGGAAAACTGCTTTTCACCACAGCATGACATACCTCGAGATTCCACATGTGGACAGTGATGCAAAGATTTATTTGGGACAAATGAGACCCACCTAACTTTTTCCATACTTTAAGAAGCTCCATCCCTCACGCTCTCCCCCTACATATGATTACAGCCAACAACACAATCTGTCCAGATTGAAAACTGCACAAAAATATTGTGGAATCAACAGACGGCAAATACTTTACCTCTAGTGGTGTGGTGTAATCATTCATTCCTTTGTTAAACACATAGATGAGAGCATCAGTGAGCTTGTGCTCTCGGGATAAGCTAACAACCTAAAAAGAACCCAGCATACTGTGTCAGCACAAAGGCTTAGGGTGTCACATTAATACACATTTACATTTAGTATAACTATAGGTTGCAAGTTTTGACATTATGATTGACTCAGTCTTAGGATCAGTTTCACTCTTGCAAAGAATCATGACAAGATTCATTATATAACAAAAGTGTTACAGACTTCATGTACAATTGTATCACTTCTTTATGCTGAGTCTGTAATTAATTTCACCAAAAAGTACATGCAGTATAAATATAACATGAGAATATAATTTAAACAAAGTTAACTACTCTATGTTTTTTAAACAAATCTGTATTTTTAAATCCTGGTTTAATCCTGGTTCTCCTGGCAGAAGGTTACACTGAGCAGCAGGTTGCTTCCAGGTTCACAATTTCTAAGACAGCAGTACAGAAGGATAAGGTGAAGCAGGAGACACTGGGAATGACCAGAAACCAGCCAGGTAAAGGGTGGAAGCAACTTTCTAATGCCAGAGACGACCGTTAACTTATCCAACAGATTCTCAAGAATCAGAGGATGCCATCAAGTGACCTTCAAAAGGAATGGGAAACATTAAGTGCAGATGTGAAGTGCACTGTTAGGACAGTTCATATCAGGCTCCTAGAAGCAGGACTGAAGTTACATAAAGCAAGGAACGAGTCCTTCACTCATGAGAAACAGGGAAAAACCAGGCTGCAGTTTGCAAAAAATATATATATTATTCACAGACGCACACCCATATACTGAGAATTTTTTCCTTTGATTCGCAAATTCCAGTGGTGTAAAGTACTTGAGTAAATGGACTTCGTTACTGTACTTAAGTATTTTTTTGGCTACTTTG